TGGTTCTTATCTTGGAGCTGGAGCTGCTCGCCCATCGTCGGAAAGGCGTTGGGAACGCTGGGATCGGCTTTCCGGTTGGATGCCTAGTTTTAAATCTCCAGTGTTACCTGCCCAAGCTTTAAGTGTTCCCCATGATAGCATTTCCTTGACTTAGGTGGCTCGTCAGGAACTCAATTAGTAAGTCGGAGTTGAACAAAGTGGAACTCTTGACCAAACGAGGCTAACAAAGCATCTCTGCAGGTAACTGAAACGGAGCATTGAGTCACGACCGGCCTGAGACAAAGGGACGTTCTTACCTCTTCTCCCCTTCCCCCTCAGGATGCATGCACTTCACCGAAGGAACAATGCAGGCCTGATGCGGCGACAACATAGTTTGCAAGTTGTGGGCGACGGTTTTAGCGTGTGACTTCGGGTTGCAACTGTGTGCGTCCGACGTGTGTTTCTTTCTCCACCCGGTGTCACCTTCCCCTGCACACGCAGCGGAGCACGTCCGCCCGACGTGTCTGCGAAGCGCGACAGCAGCCAATCGCTGCACTTTGTGACCAGCGACCTGCAGGAGCCCCGGCGGTAACAGAGGAGCCAGCGCCGCCATCGCAGCGGTGTTATGAATTTACATGAGGGTGAATTTAAATGAAGGGGGTGCATTTAAATACGCCAGCAGAGTTAACAACACTATCTGCATATTCAGCAGCTTGTGATGGATCACAGTCACTGGGAAGATGGACAATAGTACCTGTTCATGATGAATAACCTGTAGTTGTGTGTGTGTGTGTGTGTGTGTGTTTGTGTGTTCAGGGGCGAATGAAAGTCAGGCTGAACGCAGCGAGAGGAACAAGCACCAAGTGTCATTTTAGCCAAAACAATTTGCATTTTAAAGCTGAGGAGAAGGAGAGAAGGACAGAAGGAGACGAGGTAACAGATAAGAGAGCTTTAAGCTGAAAACAGAGAAACACGTTGATTTAAAAGAACTGAAAGAGAGAGAATAAACAGAGATATTCAGCGCATGAGTCAGTGTGTGTTTGTGTGTTGTTGTGTATCCGTGTGTGTTTGTGATGAGAGTGGGGGAGGAGGGTGGAGGCGGGAGGAGATAATGAGGTTTGAGAGGGAGGACATGAAAAATGGAGGGATTGTGGCGATAAGTGTGGACTGAACGGTGGAGGCGGTTCCCGAAGCGTGATGAGTGATTTGAATCTGACTCAGAGGAAGAGGAGGAAGAGGAGGAAGAGGAGGAAGAAGAGGAAGAGAGGAAGAGGAGGAAGAGGAGAAGAAGAGGAAGAGGAGGAAGAAGAGGAAGAAGAAGCCGAGCAGCATTAATAGATTTATACATATGATTGTCACAAGTCTTTGGGGCACAGAAGTGGGACTGATGTCATTCTGAGAGGTGCAGGGGCGTCCCAAAGGAGGGAACGTGCACGTTACACACACACACACACACACACACACACACACACACACACACACACACACACAGCTAAGCAGCGTGCGTGTCTGTGCTCAGGACAAGCCTATTACTACTTGACATGCAAATCTCTTTTCTGGTCCTCTTCTGTCTGTCTGCCTGTCTCTGTGGCGCTCTAGACTCCTTTCCCATAATCCCCCTCTCTCTCTCTCTCTCTCCCCACCAGCTTTCTGTTCCCTCGCCCTTCTCCTCCACATTTCAGTCCAATTCCCGATGCTCCTTTTCTCTCTCCCACAGCACAATGCAATGGTCGGCCTATTTTTACACGCTCCCAAACACCTGCAGCTGAAGCCTACGTGTGTGTGATTGTGTGTGTGTGTGTGTGTGTGTGATAGAATGATTCGACCTTGGACCGCTCTGCCAGTCAAGGTGACTTCCTAGTCACAGAACATTGGTGAACTCCCCGCCCTGGTCTTCTCCCGCTCTTCTCCCGCCTGGCTGGGTTTTTACAAAGAACAACATTGGTTCATTTGTTGTGACCAGCAGGTAAAAGGATCCATCCTGTCGGCTTCTACTCTTCGTTGTCTCGGTTTGTTCAGGACTGACCTGACGTTTGACTTCCCCGGGCCTACATTCTGTTTCTCTCGGCGCCGAACGGTCCAAAAACACATTTCTACGGGCCGGTGGTGTTTTTTTTTTATTTGCACGAACGTGTCAGAGTGCCACAGACGGTCTGCTGCCGTGTCATCGCGTCCCGTGGTGCCGCGGGCTTTCATCGCGATCTCGCTGAGGTTGGAGGGCGGAGTTAGTTTGCGAGGGACGCCCTAAACGATTGATCCGTGAACGCGGCAAACATTTGCACCTGAGCAAACGTAAGCATGCTGAAGTTAGCGCTTGGCTAAAAACCTCCACGTTCCACTTCGGAGCAGCCGCGACGGCTCGTGAGCCAACACTGAAATTCCACGTAGGACTCTCGATGGTTGTACAATAATCGCTTACTTAAGCAACTGTGATAGGAGTGTTAGGGGAGGCCTGTTTTATGGCCTCTTTCATAAAGTTGTTGATCCATGTGCTGGACTTTGCATTGAGAGCTGAGCGGCTGCAGGGAAGGAACTTGAAACACGGCGGGCGGGGAGACTCCCAAATATCACGCAGACCTTATAGACTCTTTTGAAAAGCATATTATTTACGCACAAACACATCATCGGCATTGGGAATCTACCAGGAAACCCAGATATGAGCAGCGTCGGGCCCCGAGTTCTGTGAGGTTACCGACGTGTTTACGTGCTGTAAAAACTCCCTTTGATACCTGGTCAGATAAAAGCACGACTTGCCAGTAGACGATCTCTCTTTCTCTCTCTCTCACAGTCAAATACACACAGATAAGGGAGGTAATCTGTGCACAAGGATGGGGGTTGTTTTTGCCATCGGTGGGATCAAAGGTCACTGATTTGCACCCCACGTATTGCGGGTCAATCCGGTATTCAGCAGCAGCCTTTGTTTCGTTTGGTGAAACGTTGCAGTTGGCAGACGTGTTCCTTTCTCTGCTGTTTATGCTTCTTTCTCCTCTCTTGTCTCTGTTCTTCTCTTTGATAAAAATGATCGTTTTAGGGTTGTTTTCTCAAATAAAAGAGCAAAGTCATCCATGGGCGACTAAAACAAGGCAGTGGCAACACTCAAGAGATGAGGAAATAAAGATCCAAAGCTTGTGATTTGTTTAAAGTTTGAAATCTCTTCCTACTATGTGGAACAATGTTATATTTTGGTTTGATTATTTCCCGTTTTCTATATCTTTGCAACATGGCGAAATATCAGTATATCATTTCTACTAGATTCTTACTTTTCAGGTATTTTTTTACACATATTGGAACTGATTCTCTGAGATGAATCTTGTGGTTCATCAAAGACGTTATTACTTGACTTTGTTTCTTGTTCACGGGGAGACAAAAGGTCAGAAACACTCACGGAAAGACGCTACTGATTCATGTTGTGCTCAAGGGCACTTCAGCAGGGTGGATTAGCTGGTGGGAGTTTGACTCTGGATTGGCTGAAAGAAAGTTGGTTTGTCTCTACTTTATAAGTTGTATATTTGTTTTGTGTGAGACTTTCTTTCTTGAATCATATCTGTAAAAAGGAGAAAAAACAAAACAAGAGTGAATAAAAACTCTTTTACAACCCACTTTAATGGGTATTTAAAAAATGGAAAATCTCGGTAGAAACCATGAAATGTGAATTAAAAAACACATCACATACTTTATTGTATGCCATTGTTTATAGCAACAGATAATGTTGTTACAGAGACAAAGTGAGACTCTTGTCTCTCACAGGGGACAAATCAAAGGGTGCAAATAACATTCAAAACAGTCATCAGCCAAGAACACACACGTTACATAATAAGAGGACAGCATGACCGACTGCTGGACATTTGTTCAAAGCATTCCTCAATCTTAATACGTAACGTATTAACTTGCTTAAATTTTAAGAATGATTATTATCTCTTCGTGTATTTTTTAAAACTTTCCCTTTCTTTGTATTTAAAAGTTAGTTTACTGTTTTTGTAGGGGTACTGTTTTACCGTTATTGTTTTGCCATGGCATATATATATATATATATTTTTGTCCTAATAACAATATAATAATCAAGCTAAATTTCCACTAATTAATCACTTCGTGGTGGCTCTCACAGTATTTTCAAACTCAATGCGCTTCAATTTGACCTTATTTAGACCAAAAAAACCAAAACACATTTAACAGTCCTGTCTGGTTTCACAACCCTTCTCACAAATAAATACAATCTATGGGATCACAGAACACAAAATAACTAAAATGATTAAAATGTTTAAAAGAAAAATGTAAATACTTTTTTAAGGGTATTTTGTTGTTGATTCCGGCCACAATAAAAAATGAGGTGAGGGGTCATACATAACATTTTTTTTTTTTTGGGTCCGGAATATTATCTGCTTATTTGTCCCCGTGGGATGAGTATATAAATAATATGATGTTTTCTGGTTAGCATATTTATATATTTTCACATTGCTCAAATGTATTTTGGGGTCATTAAATAAAGAAATAAATAAAACCTTTGCAATATGTTATCTAAAAAAAAAATATCATATACCAGTTGTCAGTCATTGAGGTCTCGTTGCCACAGTAACAGCTGTGCTGCGCTCGCTCATTTGAAGGCAGCGAACCGCTTTCCTTTAACGCGCCATTACTCTTTCTCTCGTAAAGCCGTCGGGCCACCTTTTCAGCCCGTGTTTGGTTTTCCTCAGTCAGAGGAAGTGGTGAATGTGCTTCCTGTACCGTCTCTCCCCCCCCCTTCCTCCCCCCTCCAGACCTGTAGTGAATGCAGAGAGAGAGAGAGAGAGAGAGCGAGAGAGAGAGCGGAGGGGAAAGCTGAGCTCAAGCGAAAGAAGGTTAGCCAGCAGCGAGTGAAGAAAATGGCGATCATGCAGGACGAATTCCTCCCCTCGTAGACGCTGCAAACGCGTTGAAATTCTTGTAGCCTTACAGCCGGCTTTCCTTTCCACTCGGTTGCACTTTATACTTCAATGAGGTGAGGCTTGTTTGCGACGTTTTCTTGACCGTGGGGGGGCCGTTTCTTTGTGGCGAGCTAATGTGCGCAGGGAGGGAGACCCGGGGACGGGTGTAAGGTAACTTTAGCTGCCGCTGTTGTTTGGTTAGCCGTGACGGAGCTACGCTAGCTTCCTGTTCGGCTAGCCGTCGGCGGAGCGACTCGGTTGCGTTGTGGTTTGGCAAACGTAAAGGACGAAAGCGTCGACTGGAAGACAAGTGGATAGTGTTTGTCTGCACATGTTTGCCCGTTTAACGGGGACGTAACTGAAAAAAAACAGGTTGGTTGGCAGTTTAACCTCATGCTAACTAGCACGATAATCGGTGAACCTCGGGTTGCAGGTTGTGCGTAGATGTCTGTAAAAAATGAGTTATTTTTGTCTTTCGTACAACCTTCTTGAATTGATGTTTTGGGTGTTTAAACTACCATTGTATGTGGTTTAATGCGTGCGTGCATTTACTAAAATGTCGCCATCGCTAGATTAAATAAAGACCGGGTAAGTTAGCTTAACTAGCCGCATCGTAACATTGGCTCTTCCAGCTAGCATTGGCAGCCGTGCTAACCTGACGACGCAGGTCGCTCCGGCGGTTGGTTCGATTGTTTTTACCGGCTCCTTGGTGACATGCGAGCGGGGGGGGGGGGCACATCTGTCCAAACGCCCTTGAATCGCTAACACGGTGTGTCGATATTTAATGTCAGCTGAGGTTGTGCTCTGTGAAGCTGCAATAGTTGTAGGATCGAGTACCCTCTAGACAGGGGAGGGGGGGGGCGGGTTAAACCAGCAGACCTCCGCGCTGCTGCTCTTCAACCGCCGTATTCAACATTTTTTCCCCCGTTGACCCGACGACGCTGCAGAGGAGCCCCAGTCGCCCTAAAATAAAAAAAGGCATCGCCTGTAAATGAGATGCCGCGACGTGTTCTTTTCTCCTTCCCCGGTTTAAAGGGGAAGAAGAGAGGGGGGGGGGGGGGGTCGAGAGAAGCCATGTTGGTTAAGCTGTAAGTCAGGCGACAGCTGAGATAATGGCCGATCAGGAGCTGGAACTCTTGACACACACACACACACAAACACGCGTTGCACTCCAGCGTCGTTGTGTTTTCAGGCCCGTAACAGATCGGCCCTCGTTCAATCTGTTATGCAGCTCGACCTGCATTTCCACATCGACCAGTTGAAACACTTTTCGCTCTGCGCTTGTTGATGGGTCGCTATTGTTTTGTCGGCGTGGGCTCGGCCTCGCGTGGGTTCGTGCGGGTGGAGGTGCATTCCCTCTTTGACCCGCGCACGATCAATAATTAATTTGAGACGCTGTGATGGTGTCGTGTTTACCATTCCACGTCGATTATAGCTGCGTGTAACCCCCTCGCACACGTACTCCTCGCCATGGCCTTTATCTCCAAATCAAAATACAATGGTAGTCAAATGAAAAAGGGCCTTTTATTCGTTGATGTTTGTTTTGGTTGACCTGCTCTCTTTATAACCTTCGTATCTTGCGTGTTTTTCAGAGATTTGGAATCGAAAGCTGTTGCCACCAAAGAAGCATCGAAACAGGTGACTATTGCATCTGAAATCGTAACGTACACGTTCCTTTGTTTTACGACTGTGTGTTAGATTAATGTCCCTTCTCTGTAGATGGTAGCATGACCTGTGTGTACGTGCGGTGGGCTACCAAGGGAGGGGGGGCTGCTTATGCAAGCACATGCAGTTCCGTTTGAATTGAATTGGAGGGTCTGGGTTGGTCTAGGCCGCATTGTGCTGACTAAGCTTTGCTGTTTTAAAATTGTTAAACGACACGCCGGGATCCTGGTGTTTTGTGCGTGGAGAGGTGTTTGTGCAGCTCATTGTGTCCATACAGTTGCAGGCACACAAAAGGAGCTGTGGATCACAACCAGTCCATTAACTGGCTCTGAGGGCCGCGTCTAATCGGTGTTCAGTTTTTAGACCCTACATATGTTTTGTGAATATTGTTTCCTGAAATGTGTTTTGTTTTTGATTCGATCGTTTGCACTCGAGTCAGTGCGGCCGGCTGATGGTGTGACACATTTTCCCAGCCATGGGGCATATTTTCTTTGTGCACGTAGGCGGACTAACAATGAAACAATGCAGGGGAGAATGAAATAATACCTTGTTGTGTATGGTGACACTAATTATAGCAATTTAAAAATTGCCTCTATTATCGTCATTATTTGTTTTACCACATTCCTATTTAGTGTGTGTGTTTTAAAAAACGTTCTTACTACGTACGTGTAGATATGGATTCTGTAAATAAAAACAGGAATAACACTGTGGGACAGTAGTGTTTCTTTAGTTAATTTCAGTTCAATCAGGAATCAGCTTTTGAGCGAGTTTCTCGTTGGAAGAAGTCTTTCTGGCCTTAAGTTAACACATTGTATTTGATGTTTCAACAAAAGGAAAACCACAGTATCATAAAGTTGATCAACTTGTAGCATTGTGGCTCCAGTGGTGATGTCGTCCTTGATCCAGCGTTTTCCTCTGAGGCCGTTTAGTTGCGCTGCACTCACCTGCTCGGATACTCGCAGGTTCGCCTCATTGCTCATCAAGCAGTTCTAATCATAAAACGGATCAGTTGTGAATGTTGAAATCTCCTTTTGATTTTGGTGAAGCAACGGCTGGCGGGCTTCACTTTCACTTTTGGTTGCTGGGCTCCGCTGCCCCAATGACTGTTAGGCAGACATGTTTTCATCCCGTCTAAAAATATCCGACGTTTTCACAGCTGTTTTCTGCCGAGTTGAAGCCGTGGCGATGTGCAGTCCGTGCCGTCATGGCCCACTTGATGTCACGGTGTTGGGAATTTAATACAGCACTGCTATAAATTCCTACTCTATTGCTGCATTGGTTGGGGGGAGGGTGGGGGGGGGTTGTTGGCCCTTGGCCCTCCGAGTCGTAAGGCCACACCTGCAGGTCATGAGACAGGAAATATTTGAGGCTGGCGACAGTGACATTTCAAGCAAATAGGTGGAGCTGACAATTAGAAACATTAATCCCAGTTAAAATCAAATGCAGTTAACTTTTAATGTGTACAACAAAATGTCCGAATTACAAGTATGGGTATAGTTTTTGTTATAGTTTTAGTTCTACACCTATGCAGTGAAGAGTTGCTGTATGTCACCTACTGCAAAAAAGTGCAGAAATCAATTCGCAATTCCTCCTTCACTGAATATAATTACATTATTAGTTTATTATCCATGTCCTCGATTGTTAACTTCTGAGCACTTAAGACATTCTTTTGCTCCTGAATATAGACAAAAATGTTGGTGAGAAATTGTTTGAATCAAAACTTATATCACGCTGCCTTTCTCGTTAACATGAATTAAAAAAAGAACTGGAATTGAGGCTGGAAATGTCCCACTTGGCTGTGTCCTCTACCTCGTAGCTCCGCCGTCGAGGAGAGAGGAGACCCTCTTTGTCATTTGCTAATTGAGTGATGGCTTCCCTGAACCTGAGCCGCCAGTGTTAATCCTCTGTGAGAACATGCAAATGCAAATTGATGCAAATGATCTGGTGTTACACATGGAAATTAGCCACGCGACTCCCTTTGCTTTGTGCCGCCGCAGACCGGCTAACTCTTGTGAGCGTTTCTGTGGACGCTCGTGTCTTATCAGTTTATGTTTGGGGTGTTTGTCTGCTGTGGCTACAGATGCAATCAATACTCGGGTCTCCTTTTAAATTTGACTCACTTCTGGGGAGTGAGAAAAAACAAATAAACACTCCCACAGGGTGTCTGCATGCGGCACCCTAAACTCACATTTCTGATACCTACATTCTCAGAAACCCAAATATAGTTTTATTTTAAAGTCTTTCAGCTTCATTTGACAGCCAGCCAGCAGGAAGGAGTTCACCAAGAATCCCAGAAGGGAAGATGAGAAGAAGCTTTAACCGTAGCCCAATGTAGCAGACAGAACTTATGATCCGATATGTTACAGAAACGCTTGATGGCCAAATTAAATACATTCTCCCTCTAACTTGAATCCAAGCCATCACAGTTCACAACATCCATAGTGATGTTTGATATTTAATTCTGCTGCTCTCTCCTCAGCCCATCCTCATCTCGAGGTGGGACCAAAAAAAAACAAGCCGCATTATTCTTAGTAGTGGAGACGCGATAAGCAATTCTTGTTAATCAGTTGGTGATTGTTATGCAGCGGTGAAAATAGCCGCCCTTTTCCATCTGGATCGTGTTGTTCAATGAGGAAGGAAAATTATGTGTTTATGTTGAACAGTTTCCTGCAGTTTAGGGCTGCAAATAACACTTCGTATTATTTATTTTCTATCTATTGCAACTTTTGTCAACCACCCATATTATTATTAAAATGTATATTTTATCACAAAGGCATGTTTTTTTCTTAGTGTTAAATTCCCAGTAGTTGAAGTGTTTGTCGTCCTTACGGCAAACAAGGAAAGACTGAATTATATTGCCTTGATTAACCAGGGATGATCTCTAACAGTCATTAAAGAACAATAACAGAACGCACATGGTGACCTAGATTAAGAAAGACTGTTTAAAGCAGGTTTACTGTGCTTCCTTTGAGGCGTCTAAGGAACATGCTGATGGGATAGAGTCTTAAAGTTGTATAATGGTGACTACGTGGGGTGTTTGAGTACCACCTGTGACTGCTAAGAGAAGAACAAACCATAAAATGTGCAAACGGTCCCCATCTCTTGTCAACCTCCCCCCGTTCCGATGGCCTCGTTCTCCGTCGTCTTTTCACTTTCAGTGACTCGTGGTGCCCCCTCCTCCGTCAGCTGTAGCTGTCGGGGGATGGGCGATGGTTGCCCCATTCATAAACAGATGGGGTGTGTGTGCGCGCTCCAGGAGAGCCCCCACCATGCTCTGCTGTTGTTGAACCCAGAACCATCTGCTGAAGCACTTGGTGATTGAGGGGGGATCTAGGTCTGCAGTTTGATTAACACATTGAACAGGATAGATTAAGAACATTGAGTTTGACTTGTGATGTCAGCTTCACGAAGACGTCTTAAACTTCTACCATGTTATACACATTTATAGATAGTGTTTTTAACAAGGGACGAAGCGCTGTGATCAACATCACTGTAAAACTGTTTTTTTCCCAGTATGTATTGGTTCTTTAATACTGTAAAAGTTGCATATTAAACATTGCATCTTGAAGTTTTGCCTTATTCCTCTGAGCTTCGTTGCTGTGGTTTCTGTCGGAGTTGTTTGAGCATCTCTGCCTTCTGTCTGTTTATAGTGAAGGTAAGAGCTGTGTTGTAATCTTATTACGGGATTAGACGGCAGCCTGCAGCTTTCCCCTGTCGGCTAAATGGTTCACCCACCGCGACCGGTGCGGCTGCACTCGACACTCTCAGAGGGAGAGGACACGATTACAGACCAATAGGAAGAGTAATATCAGTCAACGTGTGGTCCAACTGCGACATTTATTGCATTTTGAGGCCATATTTCATCATCTGTTTTCAATGTTGTTGTCCGGTGTATCACTATCACTTTTCAGTAAAAGGCACAATAGACACAAATCAAACATTATATATGAGCGCTACGCAATTGCGATTTAATTAATTTAAATGTTTGTTATATTCTATTTAATCAGTTAATGGTTTAAGCTCTAAAATCCTCACAAACTCCCAGAGCTGACATGCTGAGAAGTTTTCGACCCTTTTTTAGCGGCACATAAAACACAGAAGGCTACAGTGCCTGTAATGCAGATGTGTTGTTTCCTGCTGTCTTCCACAGGGAACGTACCCACAGAGGGAAGAACAGTGGATGGAAGAGAGAGAGAGAGACGGAGATTGTGACGAGGACGGAGGATAAGAACACACTGGTCAAAAGGTGAGAATGCAGTCTTTTTGTCTAGTCAGCCCTGGATAGTCGCGCTTTGTCAAGGTGCCTGAAAGTTAATCCAACGCTCTGGTCGTCCCGGTGTGAGTTCCTCGTGCCGTGTGGCGTCGCGTTTGTACAAGCCAGACACGGTCTGATGGCGTCCAGCTCTGACCGTGTGTGTGTGTCTTTCAGTCGCTGCCTCTTTTGTTTTTGCTCCTCTCCTGCCGTGTTTACACTCCCACCCTCTTGTTTTATTCCTCGATGTAGTCTGTCGCAGTACAAGCAGAAGTAGTTCACAGTTTAAGACTCTGCTGTAGCAAACGGTGAGGGGGTTATCGCCATGGAAGCGCCTCTCCCCCGACAGTGCATGTACAATAACAAGTTATTATTGTACCTCTGAAAGGCTCGGTGTCTCTACTTAACAGTGTCTCACCGTGGCTGCAGTCTAAACAATGGCTTGTATCATATTTAGTGTTGACAGAAAATGACTCTTCCTTTACATATATTGGATTAATTTAGTAACAATGTTTAAACAAAAATCCATAACGTGGTCCGTCTCCAGCTTCTGAAATGTGCGGTTTTCCGGCCAGTCTTCGACCGGTGTGATAGTAAAGTAAACATTACTGGGTTTGGACCTGTTGTAGACATTTTTCGAGATGCAGGAAGTTGACAGTTTAAAATCAATTACGCTCATCTCCCTGAACGCATTCAAATCCCCTCATTACCAGAAAGGGAACAACCTACGTACACAAAGGCTTGACTGGCGGCTACCACCACCGACCCGGTTGTAGGTGGAAAGGTGACGGAGTAATGGACAAACTGGCTAATGAGTCACAGAAGCTTGGGCTTTTTTTTTTTTTTTTTTTTGTGCACGCTGCCCTTTGGTTGGAGTTTGACCCGCGTGGGTGCCCCCTCCGATCTCCTCCCGTGGTCGACGCGGTGACGGCGGTGGAACCGCGTGACGCGTGGTGTTATCTCCTCCTGCACACGCTCGCGCTGCACATGTGCAATCTCATGGTGCGCCTGCTTGTTTTGTGAGGGACACGGCCATGCGATTTTAAAGTTAACTGGCCAAGGAAGATGCAGATTGCCGGCATTCACACCCAAAATGTAGCTATTATTTTAGGCGGAGGCACACTGGCACGTGACTGCGGCGCTGATGTCATCCTGCTGGGACATGCCCAGAGGAATTCAGAGTGTTTAGGAATGTTGCCGTTACAACAGGGGCTTTCTTAACTGGATCTCCGTTTCTGTTTAGTTCAGCCAATTGACTCTATATTTGTGTTGGGTGGCCCCAACCAGCGTTCACTCAGAATATATAACAATGCACTGTATGTTTATAGTGCACACAGCCAAAATGCAGTCATGCAAGTCATCTTTGTTGCAGTTTGAGCTGTTTTTTAAAACACAGAGCTGATGTTGGAATATCGGGAAACGTGTCCACGTACGAGGAATGTTTTCTCCTTAAAGTAATGTGACCAGGAAATGAATGTTTATGACCAGCTCCAACTGTGACCGCTGGACCCGTTATGCCTCTTACATTCCAAGTGACAGTTTCTAGCTTACGTAAAGAGGTCTTTAACTTGTGAGAAAATTATTTTAAAGAATGTCAACTGTTTTGAATCGATGTCTTCGTTGCATAGCAACAGAAGGATGAGAAAAGCGCCTTTAGCTAAAAAAAAAAAAAAAGTTGACTGTCATTTTTTTTTTTTTACCTCAACTGAGGTAAATAAGGAATAACGAATTAAAACTGGCTGTAAAAAAACCTCTCGGTCAGTTCTATTGATCTCTACTAATCGTTTTTTCAGCATCTTTGGCTCTGAACATTCTTTGCTCCTTGCTGCGTTAAACTGAGCACATATTTTAAGTTTCTTGTACCGTCGACATTAGGAAGTTTACCTTTCTGTTGTTGCTTTTCATACATGTCAGAAGCTGCAGCTGCATTCCTCATCAACCTCAGTGACGGCCCCTTCGTCTTCGTCCCTCCTCTTTCACATTCCCTCCTCCGTAGCTTGATATCTCCATTTTCTTTTTCTTTTTTCTCCCCTCATCTGGTTTCTCTCCTGCTTCAAGGCACTTTGCGTTTGTGTGTTGTCCTTACCCCCCGCCTCCCGCCTCCCCAACCTCACCAACGCTCTGTCTGTAAGATGATCGCAGCAGTCGAGCTGCAGCCAACTCCGGGGGCCCTGATGAAAGCTGCTTTCAGACGGGGGAAAGGGAACAAACTGTACTCTGTGCTGAGCGGGGGCAAAGCGCACGCTCATACTCGCTGGGGTTGGAGTTAAACGTTGCACATTCAATAAGTGTGGCGTTACCAGCAAAGGTCTATTTACTGTCGTGCTACAATAAAGGATTACAGACAAACAAGTTTGACAAATAAAATGGTCGTCTAATAACAGATAACAAGTTTTGAGTTACATCCGGTGGTACGTCGACGTCTCTTGATCGTCAAATTAGTTGTTAAATGTTCCTCTTTACTTATTGATTTGATTGATTGCTTGTAGGCGCACACACAAAATATTATACATACATGCTGGGAGTTAAAACAATCGTTTAATATTATGTTGAAGTCCTGGTCATAGTGGTTCTGGGGCATGAAGAATACTGCCTCGAGTGAAGTGTTTGCCAGCCTTCTACTTTAATTTGACTTTCACTGCCTTATAAGGTGCAGCGTCCCCCCTCACCCACCTCGGGTGTAGCCCCTTTAAATCGGATGCTTTGGGGTTGACAAAGGTCTTAGGAAGGTTTGAGTCAAGATCCATGAAGTAAAGCTCTCAGTTTGCAGGAATGAGCCTCCTCTTAGTGCTCCCTTTGCTTAGTGTAGCAAATGTAACACTTGAGCGACTTTCTTTGGGTGGGGGGGCTCTTTTGTATTATGTCATTGTCCTGTCTGGCTGTTGATTGGTTGCAGAAACACTTTCTGGCAGGCTTAGCGTTTCTATATGCGGGCAGTGTGCCCAGGTTTCGCTGTCGCAGTCTGGCCTCCGTTCAGTATTTCACACCATCGGTTGTTGATTTTTCTGTGTGAACGAAACATTTTAGCTAAACATAAAATTCAGAAGTAGGATTGTTTTGTCTTTTTGCCATATGGCGTTTCCTACATAAACATGCCCTGCCACAGTTGTTACGCATGCATGCATCAGCCTATTCGCTTACTTGCTCAATGTCCACACATGGCTTTGTTTGTTCTCTTATCATATTGGCGAGTGAACACAGTGGTTGCTATTTGAACTGAAGGTTTATAAATAGACCAGTGTGCTGCTGCAGCAGGCAGAGAGAGCAAGCACACCCTCCTATCCTGCACTAGGAAAAGGTCACTACACACACATGCATACTTGTGGTTGTTGAAAGCACGGATCCACTTTCTGCTGGATTCTCAACTTACTCAACTTTTACCGTCTTTGTGACTTAAGTCTTTACTTTGGAATTAACGGTTCTGCTTGCCAAAGCGTCCCAGAGTCAGTAGTAGTAGTTCTGTAAGCTGGTTGTATAACCCTAATCTAGTCCAAGATCCACACACAGTCATGCAGGAAGAAAAGGCGTGCTTGATCCTCCTTCCTGTTACCTTTCTGAGCAGACTCGCATACTTGTCCCTCATTCCAGTTCAGACAACGCAAACCCCGTCCTGTAGAGGGGAATACGTCAGCTCAAGCTCTGTTGCACACACTTCGTGATACACGTGAAACCTGCTGCTGTTAATACATGCGTACATTATGTTGACCTAATCATCTCTCTCAACCTTGTCTCTCCCTCTGCAGTGCCAGATAAGACCAAGTCAAGGCAGAGTCCTCAGTCTTAACCACCCCAGCTCCCCCCTCCCCTCAACCCACATTGAACACGTAAATACACACATACAGACACACAAACCCAAAACGCATACACATTCAGTCTTCAGCAATGCCAAGAGGGCCCGATCAGCCTGCTGCCTGCTCTGACAAGCCCCGCCTCTTCACCTCGGACACCTGAGGCCGCACTCCGAGCTTTGACCTTTTTTGCCTGCCCTCCGTCGACCTGGGAACCAAAGGTCACCTCTTCTCCGCTCTGCCCGGAGACGGCCTCCTGTCAAGACAGGAGCCGCAGCCTTGCGCCGCACTCACAGGTAGACAATGAATGAGATGGAAGAGAAAGAGAAAAAAAGCTGTATTTTCTGCAAGAAGGATTCTTTGAAATATTTCAATTATTTTTCTCCGAGTAGTCTGCGAAAATTACGAACATGCAGATTTCTAATTTTATCTCAGACAAATTAAAACTTATTTCTAATCGCTGCTTAATTATTTTACATCATAATACGGATAACTGACTACTAACTAGCATGTCTATCCCCTACTGCTCATGACCTGCAACCCCCCGTACTCTGACTTTAAAACATTTGTTTTCTGTTATGTTTGCTTTGACTCTGTCCTGACTCTTTCTACCATCTTCTCGAACTTCCTCTTGAGTCCGTCTTGACAGTCTTTCCTCTCTCTGTTTCTAGGCATGGCTCCCATTCGGGATTCCGTCAGCCACTCCCCTAATCAAACAGGTGACAACACATGGCCTTCTTCCTTCCCCAGTTCTTCTCATCTTTCATTCTTCCTCTCAATGTCTTACTTTGATTCTCTGCTTTGAGACGCCGTCTCGCTTGTCCTTGACTGATGCATTACATTCATGTGATATCTGAGGTGGAGGTGTGAGTAAGAAAGTGGGTTTGGAAAGGTGGGGAGACTTGCGAGATAAGGCCCCAGCAAAAATGGGGGAGGAAAAAGGTGGATTCACCTCAGTTAGTTCCTGTGGGATTTTCTCTGCCGTTGCTCTCTGCTCTAAAACCAGAGCAAGACTGAAAGTTACTCCTTGCCAGATGAAAAAAAGTTATTTAGATCAACTCATTTTTTGTTAATTATTTCACAACCTAGTTTACTTCACTGCTGCACTGCCTTTCAGTAAATTGGTATCTGAAGATTATTGTATTCAGAAAAGTCTCCAGCTTGCAACCAGGTCTGAATCTTTTCGGCCGACAGCACGTCCTTCCTCCCCTCCCTCCGTTTCCCATCTTCTCACACTCAATTGCCCACCTTGCTTCCTCCTGCTGATGCTCGCCCTCCATGCCCTCCGCCTTTGTAGCTTTGGCATACGTTTGAGTCCTGCTGTGGGAACAAAATGGTGGCAGCTGTGTCCAGGCGCCGGCTTGGCACGCATCAAGAACAGTTGGGCAGCTGAAGGTTGGACGGAATAGAAAAATCTCCAACCGACAGTGAATGGGGGGGGAATTTAAGCAACGTCTGTTTTTCCATTTACTAAGATACATTTGACTGTTGTATAATTTCTTCACAATGATAAACTTTTATAAATGAGTGAGGCTTTCCTCAAATCAAAAAGACAATACCTACATTTCGAAAAAATCTAAAATCCAACCATGTCGCCTGGCATGTTCCTCCTTTCACCCTGCAGGTCTGGAGCACCCTGGTCTGGACTCTCAGTATGAGCCTTCCCCCTGGTCCTCTGGCTCTCCCTGCAGCAGTGACGGCAACAGCAACTGGAGCAAAGTCCTAGTGGACGGAAGCGCAGACAAAACCAACAACCCTTCTTCAACGAACTCCTCCGTCTGGCCTCCGCCCTCCTCTTCATTCTCGTGCTCCTCCTCGTCTTCCTCTTCGGGCTGCGGGTCAGGATCAGACCCCGAGTTGGCATCAGAATGCATGGACGCAGACTCTAGCTCCTCGATTAGCTCCGAAAAAAACCTTGACGCTGTGACAACAGTGATGATGATGTCAGCAAATGCTCCTTCCTCTGTGTCTTCTACTGCTTCTCCCTCTTCTATTGTGACTTCCGCCATGATTGTCGGCGTCTCGGTAAATGGAGACAGCAACGGCAACAGTCGTCAGGTACTTGGTGGAGGAATCGGAACCATCAGCGGTGCAAATAATGGAAATAACACCACCGGGTCCTCTCACTACTCAGTGGCGGGATCCAGCAGTATTGGCAGCAATAACCACCACAACAAGCCCGTCGGTAACAGTGGTGTATGGGGCAGCAACATGATAACCACAAGCGGAAGCACCCCCTGCATCAACGGAGGGTCAAATCCAAACACTTTAAATCCAAATGCCAACCACGGTGCCTGGCCGCAGAATCCAACCCCAAGCCCCGTGTCCCAGGGCCAACGGCCTCCACAGGCTCAGGGGATGACCTCCAAACTGGGTGTAGCTCCCCAACAGAGCCCCGTGCTGGGCTGGGGTGGCATGTCCGCTCCAAACAGCAGCAGTATGATGGAAGACACTGAGGTGAATAATGGTACAGCAAGCAGCAAGGTGTTAGCGAGCAGCAACAGCGGGAACGGTGGCCTCCAGCCTACCAACCGCAACACTGAATCAAATGGACCAAATAACACTATTATGATGAATACTACTACGACTACTACTACTAACGCCACAATGACCTCTACTCCACCAAACTCTACCGCCTCACCCCAACTCAGCGGGGATTGTTCCTGGGGCTCTGTTGGAGGGAATGGGGTGCCACTGGCCAATGGAAACCCCATATCAGCCCACCCACAAGGAGAGATGGGCGGTCCCGGGGCCTTCGCTACACCGTGGGGTGCAACTACCTATCCTGGAGACAAAGGCACCCCAAATGCAGACACTGTGAACCCCCAAAATCCTGCCTTACTGCAGGCTGGGAACCCCCAAATGTCCTCTCCTGCTGCTTATAAGAGTAATAATAACCACAATAACACTGGGGCCCCACGCTGGGACCAGGGGCCCGTCAGTAACCCAAACCAGCCCCAGAGCAGCTCGTCCTGGGGTACCGGCTCAAATCAAATCCCAGGCTCTGCAGGCCAAACGCCAGCAAATGGGAACCAAACTACGATGGGCCCTCCAGCAGGGATACCTCGACCCTGGGGGAGCAGCGCGTCGTCCTCGTCCTCGTCATCGTCGTCCTCCTCCGCGACGAACAAGGCGCCAAATGGAGAATGGGGATCAGTACCTGCTGGTAACAACCATTTAGATCCTGGCAGTCATAAAGGAAGCTCTGCCAACAATGGCTGGAAGAGCCTGGAAGATGACGCCATGGGCATGGGAGGAGGCGGTGGAAGCGGAAGCCATAGCCCGGCCGGTGTCACTGGAGGCTGGGGTCGCACTGGAGGGAGTGAAGGAAGCGGAGAGAGCTCCGGAGGCCGATCCAGCTCCGACAGAGACGGAAGCCAGCCAAAAGGAGGAAATCGCAGAAAAGTTATCAGTCCTGCTACAGCTCAACCAGCTGTGCCCCAGAGCGACGTGGACCCGAGGGTTCTGTCCAACACTGGATGGGGACAGACACCCATACGACAGAACACCACCTGGGACGTCAATTCGTCTGCCAATAATCGACTCCAAGGACACAGAGGAGACGAAAGGAAGCACGGCAGCGGAGGCCCCGGATGGGGAACAGGAACACAGGCAGCTCCCTCTCAGACCTCCGGAGGTGAGTTCATGAAACGTTAGTCTAACTAGTTTTGTGAACGCAAATATGTTATGAAGCGCAAATTTGTATTTTAGAACTCAAAAGTAGGACAAATATGAATTTTCCTTTTTGTGTGTTCGCAGGTTGGGGGGTTGGGCCGGGGAGCTCAGGCCAGGGAGGTTCTGGCTGGGGAGAGCGGCCGACCTCCGGGTGGGACAGCAAAGCCCCAGCCAGTGGAGGAGGTGGGCAGAGCAGCTGGAACGATGGATCCAGTTACAGGGGGAGCAGCAACAACAGCAGCAACACCTGGAGCAATAACATAAACAAAGACGAAAGGTACTTGAGGCATTCTGAAAATACTAATAATACCATCGCAGAACGATTGTTGGCAAAAAGCTGGTTATGCCTCACTGATCACCTTCATTGTGTTTTGCTCAGGTCCAATACGTGGACTAATGCGCCCAAACCTCAGCAGGGCTGGGATTCCAATAGTGGAAATGGCAATGAACGCTGGAGTAATGGTGGCGATGGCCACAGAGGAGGGGGCAGAAACCACTGGGGGGGGGAGCCTCAAAAAGGCACCAACTCAGTGGGCTGGGACAACGACCGGTCAGGTTCTGGATGTTGGAGTGAGCCAAACCGAACCAACAACACCACCAGCAGCAGCAGCGGCAACAACACTTGGGCCGGCAGCGGAGGCTCAAATACCCCAGACAAGAGCACGCCGAACGCCGGCTCCAACTGGGGCGACGCAGTCCACAAACCCAATCCTCAGGGTAGCAGCCAGGGCTGGGGAGAGCCAATGAATAAGAGCAACCACGGAGCCCACAACTGGAGCGAGCCCATTTCCAAGCCCTCCAACGAGTGGGGGAAAGGTCCTGAATCCACCATGTCGACAGGAAATCAAGTCCCTAACAAGCCCACTGGTACGTTGACTGTTCATCCCATCGCAACCGCTCTAGAAGATTTGCTTCTTTTATTTCCTTGGCTGTGGAGTAAGTATTTATTCTCATGTATTCTTCAATCAGGCTGGCTGGGAGGCCCAATACCAGCAGTAGGTACGAAGGAGGAAGTGTCAACTGGGTGGGAAGAGCCGTCTCCTGAGTCTGTTCGGCGAAGGATGGAGATCGATGACGGGACAGCAGCTTGGGGAGACCCTGGTAAACACTCCTGAACCCCTTCAAAAAGAGCTGTGCAAAACTCAAATAAAACCATATGTCCAAGCTCCTTTTGACTTTCTTTTCCCAGGTAAATACAGCGGGGGAGGTGCCAGTAAGCGGAGCAGGCCCGGCCCGTCAGACCAGGAGGCCATGGGCCCACCCGCGCAGCACCAGCCCCACCCATCACGCAACTCGATGCATCCTCTGCAACCCATGCAGCCGCATGCTCAAGACAAAAGCTCCAGTTCCAGTAGGTCATATTTTTGCACACAGAATTCCTACTGAAGCCAGTACATCATAGATCTATTATATGGGTGCACCAAATTGGTGAGGCAACTCGACTTAAACCGTACACAGCTTCAAACTCATCACATTCCAACACTTGCATACATGTAAAACGAGATAAAATTACTCAAGAATGCTCCCTTAAAAGTGGTGGAAATGTGCAAGCCTTCTGGTGCAGTCTGTAAGCCTTGAATGGATAAAACCCTTCATGTCCCACCCACAGTCTCTAAATTGAGGACTTGAAAGGATTCCCACAGTACAAACAGAAATACGTTTTTATATTCGCATTCAAAGGGAGACGCAGTTTGTACACAAGCATTGAGAGAAGACGAGCACATACAGCCATTCTCCCCCGTCGCCCTTAGGTGCCGTCTATGTTGAAGGCGTTTCGTGAAGCCGGTTGAGTCATCGCTTTGGAATGCTAAGAGCATCTTTTTTTCTTTCTTCTCCTCTTCTCCCATTCGCCCATCTTTCCTCCTCCCCTTCTCACTCACCTGCCAATTCTGCTCGCTGTAGAAACACTGGCTTTTGTTGAGAGCGAGAGAACACGAGCGGGGGCGGGGGGGGTCTGTTGACTTAGTAATAGGAATGGTTCCAATGTAAGACGGAAAAACCTTAGCGAGTGAGGCAGCGGCAGGACTGAGGGAAGCGGGAGGGGGTTGTTGCTGTTACCGAGGGCCGCTGCCTAGCGGGCGAAGTGGACGGGTTCGGCCGACGGGCGAGCTGCTGTAATGACATTTTGATTAGATGTAGATGACTCTGGTTTTACTTGACACCAAAGTGGGTGAAAAAAAAATGTCAAAGCAGCTCAATACAGTAGATGTTTGTTGTAGTGTAACTAAACGTTCAAAGCACTGCTGTCTATTTTCAGTCTTGCAATCTATAACTTGTCAAACACAAATGTGTGCAAACACGGCGCCTTTCCCATCCCCCCCCTTTATCGGATCAACTGAGGCGTGTGCACACCACCCGTTTCTGTTAGTGTACCGAAAACATCTTGTCTTATAGCATCCACATATGTGCCGATCTGTGTCTGCGCAGCTACCTTTGCGTGGCTGGATGCGCGTGTTTCCTTGTGTTGTTACGTGGTTGTGTGCGAGCATGCCCGGTCACATGAGACACTGGACCCTGAGGCCACGTGATGATTCGTCCTATTTTTACGGGGAAGGGGGGGAAGAATCCCTGCCACCTCCCCAAGAAAGCAGCAGGTCGGGGCAGTCGGCTGTAATTTGAGCCCGGTGATAGCCCTGCGCATACTTGCTCTCGCACTTTAACACATGCAGTCTCGCATCCGAAAGTGCATATTGGCACACATCTGAACACCCACAGGAGTTAAAGTAAACAACACTTACATAAGCAAGTCGATGTGGGGTTCCCCAGGGACATGAGCAGGGCTCTCTCTCTCTCTCTCCCAGCTCGGTCTTCTGGTCCCAACAGAGAAAACCACCACGTGAACCTGCAGCATCGACTTTAATATGAAACGTTGTCAGTGTCCCGAGAGAGAAGTGTGTACGTCTACACCTTTTAGATTGGGTGGTCACCAAAAAAGCCTGATATGGTTGCTCTTAACAGAGAAAACAAACACCAAATCTTGATAAACGGCTCTTGGAGTTCACATTCAGTGATATGTGTAACTATACTATTTAGTTGAACGTTAGGGTTTTAATTCCCCACTAAACAAAGTATATAAATGGACACATCCATAATGCAGGTCAACAATGACACGGTCACATTTCTGTTGATGCAGGCTGAACAGGACTGTAGTGACTCAATGAGAGCCGCGAAACGAGTGTTGATGAGGAAATGCTCTCCTTGTGTGTCTTAAAATATAATAATGTATATTCCAATAAGGATGGAGCACCACAGAAATAACATCCTCATTCTAATGTGTACCTCCCTTCTTTCCTCCAGCTTGGGGTGAGCCTTTCCCCCAGAAGGAGTCCTCCACGTGGGAGCCTGCCCCCGCGCCGCCTGTTAAAGTGGACAACGGGACGTCTGCCTGGGGGAAGCCCATGGACACCAGCTCCACCTGGGAAGAGCCCAGCAGGGTTACCCGAGAGCCGGGGCCCGGCTGGGGCGGCCAGCAGCATAAGTCCGGTAAGTTCACGCGTCAACCGGAATATTTAGCAGAAACTTCCATCTGAAGGGCAATGTCTAAACTAAAAAGACCTTGAACCCACGAGAGGGAACTCCCCTGTGGTGGAGTGTGTTCACCGTCACTTGTTGGTATTCAGTTTCTTCTGTCCTCGCTGTCTTTTTAGCTCCAGGTCCTAAGCCCATGGAGACGTGGGGCGGCGAGGAGGCGTCAATGGGCAACAGCTGGGACCAGGAGGAGGAGGTGGAGATCGGCATGTGGAGCAACAACCAACAAGACAACAGGTCTCATGACCAAAACACCTGGAACTACAAGCATAAATGCTCCAACAAGGTTTGTCCACCTTTGTCCAAACTGATCCCTGCTCTCACCGGGTCACGTTGTTTATTTTAGCCATTTTTCTGTCTTTTGTTAAAAATGTGACTGAAATGTCTCCTGGTAATAAGTTTTTCTGGAATGTTTCTAGATTAACAGACCAGTCAACAAACAGGATGAACCCTGGATGAAACCTTTCATCAACCAATTCAGCGGCCTGAACTTCCCTGTAAGTACCGATTCTCAAAGTTTTGTCGTTTCACTTTCAATTTTAGTCTTTTAAAACGGTCGCGTAGCTGCCGTGTCGCTGCCACCAGGAAACACCTGTCTGTTTTCAAGCTGTGGTCGTAAACGACTCCTGTTCATGTGCAGCGATGCGAATCATCCAGTCTCTATTATCTGGTTCAAATCTAACATGCTCTTTGACGAATATTCATGCTTATCCGTTTCAATCCTTTTCTTGACTTTCCCCTTGCAGAGAGACTCTCCTGACGACTCCATGAAGACGGGAGCAGGGATGGGGCAGGACAAGCGCATGGACATGGGCGGCATGGGAGACTACAATGGACAAATGGGCAAGAACCCCTCTCGTCAGCAGCTGCACAAGGAGTCTGCTATGGACCGCAGCCCCTACTATGAGAAGGTACGCAGAGTGTCCCTGGTGTACGGGTCCTTGAATACAGCAAACAGGTTTTAACAAAGCCGTAATACAGCTAGTGTGGTAATCTACAAGTTCTACTGAGTAAACAATCGACACAACTAGAGAAGGTTTGGGCTTGTGGAGGAGGAGGAGCGCTCATACATGTTCTCTCAGCCCTGTGGGGCCCCCAAGTGGTTGTTCTAACGCACTGCACGTAAGGTCTGGACTATCGAAGTGTAGGTTTCATTTGATGCCTGCTTTTTGATACCATCTTTGTTTCTACCAACTCCAATCCTCGCCATCTCTTTACTACTCACCCGCTCGGCCAATTTCTTTTACTCTTCTCCCTCTTCTGCCAAATTAACTCTTTTCCTTATTCTCTCCTCCTCTCTCTCCTCTCTCTGCCCTTCGCTGGCTGCTGATGTGCTCCCTGTCCGCTTGCCGTTCCATCTGCTGTGCACCTGGCCTTGCTTCTGCAGCAGTCAGTTTCCCCATCTGCTTACAATAACCCACCTTTTGATGAGCTCTCCTCCAATCAAAGCATGAGCTTTTCCCCTTCCAACTGTCTTGACTCTGGCTCGTCTCCTAGTCACCGTAGTCCTGGGGGCACTCGACAGGTGAGTGTGGAAGGATGAAGAGGATGTTGTCCTAAATGACGATGGTCTAAAGTCACTGTTGATAACAAATGTGAACGATGAGAAATGATTACAAACCAAAGTTGTCATTTGTATGACTGACGTTTTTATTTGTACTTTACTTGCTAGTGAGTTTACATTAAAACAGGTGGTCACAAAGGAACTAAGGTTTCCTGAAAAGGGCGGGGCAATATTGAATCCCACCCCCTCACAATATTACTTTTACTAAAAACATTAAGTGTTCTTAGAGAAAGAAGTGAATACTTTGTATAAAATGCAAAAGCACAGGTGAGCATTTGATTGTTTCCGTCCTTTGGCTCGACATCGGGGCCGACAGTTTGTTGCAAGTTGTTTGATTATCTGTGTTTGTGTGTTCCCTGCTTTAGAATGTAAACCCTATGATGGGTGGCAGCAGCGTAGCACAGGGCCGAGGTGGCCCCCAGTCCCAGATCCCCCCCCAACCCAACCTCCGTAACCAAGTGCCTCCACCCATCCTGCCCTCTCAGGTAGAAAATCCTCATGCTTACTCCGTGGAAATGTTTTAATGCATGTGCTTTCATTTGTGTTTCACGTCTAGTTGACCGCACAACGCCATTAACATCCTCTAAAACCCTGAATTGTGTTTGTGTTCAGGTGCCTCCATCTCTGTTGAAGTACCCCGGAGGTAACGGAAGTCTGAACCCTCTGTTTGGCCCTCAGCAGGTGGCTGTGCTCAACCAAATCTCCCAGCTGTCACAGCTCAACCAGATCACCCAGTTACAGGTAGAGTGCTGCAAACATGCTGTACGGGAGCCTTGTATAGTGTAACTGGATACTTTCAGATTTCCATTTATTATTATTTATTATTTACTCTTGTCCGTCCGCAGCGTCTTCTCTTCCAGCAGCAGCAGCAGCAGAAAGCTCAGAGCCAGCGGGCCATGCCTGTGGGACGGCCGGCTGAACAGGTGCGTGTTTGTGTCCCTCTGAATCCTGCTAACGCCGCACCCCAAATTTAAACCTTTCAATTTCATAAACCCGATGTATCTCTGTGATGATTGGTTTCTCTGACCTTCCGCCCCGTAGACGCGTCCTATTGGTTCTCCGTCGATGATGCAGCCCCCGCGGCACCTGGACCCCTCCCTGCTGAAACAGGCCGCCGCCCACAAACCGTACCTGGATAACTACTTGTCCCACAGCGCTGAGATGCAGAAGGACGCTCTCGGATCCTTCAGCAATTTCCCTTTAAGTACGTTCGCTTCTTTATTTGCCTTTTAATTTTGGCTGTTGAAATGCCTCAAATGTTTAAATTCAGAATGACTACATTTCTCCCTGCGGTTTCGCCTCTTCCTCCGTCAGGCTTGAACCCTAACCTGAATGTACCGCTGGACATGGGTGGCGGCGGAGCTGTGAGCTACAAAGAGCCGCCCCAGTCCAGACTGAAGAAACTGTGGGCCACTGATCCTCTGGAGCAGAACAGCAAACCTGGTACATACCCACCTGCTTCTATGATCCGCTCATACTGGTTTATTTCCTGCAAACCCTCCTCCCTGAATGATGCTCGTTGATGTTTCATCCGATTGCGTCCTCACGTTTCTCCGCGTCAATCCCGCAGGTGCTATGTCGTCTGGGCTGCGTCTGGAGGACTCTCCCTTCTACGACTTCCTGTCTCCTGGCGCATCGTCCCTGAGTCCTCCCGGCCAATCACTGGGCTCGGTGGGCGATGGCTGGCCGCCCCGTGCCAACTCCCCCCCGCCCCATGGAAACACTGTCACCTGGCCCCCAGGTAGGCGGGCTTTCACAAGCACGATCAAACGCTCAAAAACGATGGCATTGTGGAAGCCTGCTAATCGCATCCTGTGTGTCTGCAGAGTTCCGGCCCGGTGAGCCTTGGAAAGGTTACCCCAACATTGACCCTGAGACTGACCCTTACATGACCCCCGGCAGTGTCATCAACTCCCTCTCCATCAACACCGTCCGTGACACAGACCACCTCAGGGACAGGAACAACGGTAATGGGCTCATCCATTTTACATCTTTGTGTCTTAACGTTTATGAAGCATGTGTTGATTTGTATCGATGGATAATCAAAGATGGTTTGTTAGAGAAAGAAGCACCACTTTGTGCCATGAAGTGAGCTAAACATGGATCGATGGGAAAGGATTTTGGTTTGATCAAAAGCTTCCACCAACCCGTCTCTCCCCGTCTCGGTGTCTCAGGGCAATCCTCATCACTGAACACCATGATGCCTTCTACCAGTGCCTGGTCATCCATTCGTGCCTCCAGCCACAGCGGTTCCCTCACCAGTACAGCACAAAGCACTTCAGGTAATTCAACAAGTCTCCCGTCGTGATGCTGGATAGTGAGGATAAAGACAGCGGTCGGCTGCGTGAAAATGGGCGAGAAGTCTCACGTCGTCCTCTCTCCTTGCAGCCAGACCCAGTGAGTCAAAGTGGTCTCCCGGCGGCGGCTCTGTGTCCAACTCCTCCCTGGCCCATGAGCTGTGGAAGGTCCCCCTGACTCCCAAGGCGCACTCAGTGGCGGCCCCCTCCAGACCACCGCCCGGCCTCACCAGCCAGAAGCCCAGCGCCGCCTCCTCCGGCTGGGACGGCTCTGCCCTGAGGCTGGGAGGTTGGGGCGCCTCTGAGTCCAGATACACACCTGGTGAGAGCTCCTATGCTGTAGTAATGTTCATTTTGTTTTTGTTTTGTAGAGGAATACAACCTTCAATGACATCATCATCTGACCTCCGTTCTTCCACTTTGTATCAACAGGTTCCAGTTGGGGCGACAGCAGCAGCAGCAGCTCAGGGAGAAGCCAATGGCTTGTTCTGAAAAATCTCACACCTCAGGTACGTGGATGTGCAGTGAAACCATATGTGTTCACCTTGTTCCCGTCATCCTTTGTAGAGCTGCAACGTTCTCCTGGTGTTTTACCTCTTAGTCATTTTAGTTTATTCTTTAAATCCTATTCAAACAATATTCATAATCGTACGCGGCGTACTAAGACGTGCTGATCTGATGCGTCTCTTCTTTTCGTCCAACAGATCGACGGCTCCACCCTGAGGACCTTGTGCATGCAGCACGGCCCTCTGATCACATTCCACCTCAACCTGCCACACGGGAACGCCGTGGTATGCTACAGCTCCAAGGACGAGGCCGCCAAGGCCCAGAAGAGCCTGCACATGTAAGAACACACACACACCAGTAGACTCTTAATGGTACACAAACTGCTGTTCAATCCTTAACCCTGAAGACAACAATAAAATAAGCAATGGACACACTGCATTGCTGCCGTGCTGGATCTCACCTGTCGTCTCTCTGCAGGTGTGTTTTGGGGAACACTACTATTCTGGCTGAGTTTGCCAGCGAGGAGGAAATCAACCGTTTCTTTGCACAAGGGCAGTCACTGGCCACGCCCTCCTCGGGCTGGCAGACCGTCGGCTCCTCCCAGACCAGAATGGATCAGTCCCACAGCTTTCCCAGCCGAGCTCCTGAACCCAACCAGTGGAACAGCAGCGAGCTCCACAGCTCCTCCCTCTGGGGCGGGCCCAACTATTCCAGTAGCCTGTGGGGGAACCCGGGTGGCACCGAGGCGGGGAGGATCAGCAGCCCTTCTCCAATCAGCTCCTTCCTCCCGGTGGATCACCTGACAGGCGGCGGGGACTCCATGTGAACCGCCTGCCAATCAAACAGGCTCGAGGAAGGGTCAGTAGAGAATTATCAATAATCAGCAGAAAGAAAAAAAAAAAGTTTTTAAAAAACGCAGTGGCACTAGTCGGACTCTTTCTCACTTACAAGATGTACAACAAACGGGGCGAGCCCTGTGGAAAACAAGTTACGTTTCTCTCTGCACATATGTCCACTTTGTTTTAGCCCAAAAACATATCAGTCGGAATACTTGAATCATGCAGGCCAATTCTATAATGTGAACGGATGGATATTTGCTTCCAGGTAGTGCTCTTTCAGACCGAAAAAAGCTTCAATCGAGCTCATTATTATATATATATTTTTTTTTTCGTTTCATTCGTCATGTTTATTTGAATTCCAATTCTTTTCATTTAACTTTTTTTTCTTTTTTTTTTCTTTTTTGCATTTGTTTGCTGACAATGTTGGAGTATGAGCTTTTTAAACTTTGCACTGAATGTGGTTTTTTCTCAGTATATATAATCTGCAATATAGAGGGAGCAGCCAGTTTTTCCAGTGTAGCTGTTTACTCATTGAGGTCCTTACCGTGTGTGTATGTGTGTATGCACGCGCACGTACGTGCGTGGAAGTACTCTGTGTGTGCGTGACTGAGTATGTGTGCGCTCCTCTGCCTTGGCACGCCTACTTTACTGCGTTGTCGTTCAAGATCAACAGATAGTTAAAGAATGAAAGCTGACTTAGGAGAATTATCTGGTGATAGAAAAAGTGACATTAAAAAGTATTGCACCAATTTTGTTTTAAGACTAAAGAACGTTGAGCTCTGCAGTGCAAAAGGACTGTAGCCGCAGCTGGGACTAGCAAGCCCCGCCTACCCAGGGTAGGGGGCGGGGTCTATCTAGCAAGCCCTCCCACTAGCCCCCTAGTGGGCAGGGGGGAAACAGCACTTTCAGAATAGGCTTTCAATGTTTGGAGGTGCCACACTGCAACCTCTTGTTTACAAGACTTAGGAGGCGGAACGTGTGTTCATTCTTCATTTTAAAGAGAAGATCGAAATAAAATACAAAATACTCACAAAAAAAAAACAAAAAATGAAAAAATGTTTAAAAAAAACACAAAAAAAAAAATTGAAAAAAAAAAAACTCTTAAGAATGAAGACGATGCTCTGTAACTCTGGGAATTCGGATCAGTGTTTTTGGCCATGGCGTTGGTTATTTGAACTATTCCTCTTTGTCTGCTAAATAACCAGCAATGGTTCTCAGGAAATCAAGCCAGTTTTCCCCCATTTGTAGGTGAATTAAAAAAAAACTACTACTCCTTGTAGGAAAGGAAAATCCAACTTCTAGCACTGAACTATGTATAGGTCTGTAAGTTTTATTTTCTCTGCCAAATAACTGCTTTAAGCTGGAGAAGCTCAACACACTGCTTTCAATATGCTGTCTTTGAGGGACGGGGGAGGGAGGGGGGCTCCTAATATGGAGGGGTGCAGGACGCTCTCCCTCCTCCGATGTGAGAGTCAGAAGTTGAGTGTTTATTGTGCGAGTGTGACTGTCACGTCTGGTAACCATGGCGACTGTATCTATGCATACTGTAAACCTCTCACACGGCCCACCGAGAGCCGTCGTTTTTTCCCCCCGCGTCTCAATGTTTTAAGCGTTTCATTAAGTACAACAAAATGCGAAATATTACCCTTTTTTTGTCTTTTTTTCTGTTATTGCTCTAATTGCCACAAAAGGTGTTTTGAAAAAAGGAAAGAAGAGAAACTTTAAAAATAACCTGTTTGGGTTGAAGATAATATTTTAACAGTGCAAAAGTCGTCCACATTTCATTGCCTTGATCCTAATTGTGTCCGAAGATGCAACAAGTCAAGTGGCTTTTACCTGTTTACAAATAGAATATGATTGTATCGTGCTGTTTATTTTTCATTTTTTCCTTTGAGTGAGGGGGGGTCGACTTAAGTACACGTGTGAATAATAGAAGTACACCTCCACCAGTGATTGTTTAGTTACTATGATGCACAACTGTCGGGGGGAAACAAAAAGCTTCAGAGTGCCCCAACGAGAAGTCAGCATTAGCGAAGCCGTGGACCTTAATTTCTTTTCTTCATCGTCTAATTATTCTGTGTGTGTGTGTGTGTGTGTGTTTCCCTCTCCAACATAGGTTTTAATTTCAGAAGTACGTTGGCTTAAGTTGTGTTTTTAAGCTCAGTTTTGAATATTTAACAACTTTTCGAAGCATACTAGTGAAACCGAACCTTGAGTATTAGCCAGACTTGACCGTGGTGTGTGCGCCAGTATTGAACTGCTCTGTACCAAATAATTCAATCATACAAAATATTAGTTTACTTAATTCCAGATCTCTTTGCTTAAACTATATCTATATATATATATACCTTATTTGTGTGTTGTTGTTTTTTCGTCTGGTTTAACAAATGTTATCGAGTGGAACATTTGAACCGCGGTTGTCATTTACTTTTTGAGTTTTCTTAATTTGACAAATTGAACTGAGGAGCCTTGGATTTTGCACTTGGGTGGGTTTAGAGGACGGTCGGACAGGCCGCTCGCTCGTGAAGTGTTTGGATTTTTCAGGTCCGTCAGAGGGAGATGGTGTGTTTGAGAGTATTGTGACGTGTGCGTGTGTGTGTGTGTGTGTGTGTGCGTGTGCTGCAACCAGAGGTGACGGTGCTTTGTCGTCCCCAGCTAGGGCGCGAGAGAAGAGGGAGGTTGTAGTTCCTGTCCTCCCCTATAGGTTCACCTCTCCCTGTTCACTGGGCCGGCGGGTCAGAGCGGCGACCTCGCCACGCCGCGCTGACCTCAGCCAGAATGTAGCGCAAAACGGTTTTTAAAGTATAAAACATGGCGGCTGGAGCCTCGATCTGCCTTCAGTGGCCTCTGATCAGCCTCAAGACATCAAATGCAGAGCGACCACTGCTCCTTGTTTCATGTATTCCAATCAGTATTGGACTACTGTTCTGGCCACGCCTGGTCGTCATGGTGATTGTGGACGTGGAGATGAGAAAGGCTTCTTGACTCGTGCACCAGGACGTGACTTGTGATTGGCTGTTCGGGGACAGAGTGGCGCTCGCTTCTTCGCTGGCTTATCCGGGATCAGCTCGCCACCGGAGGGGAAACTGCTCATCTGACCTGAGGTCCGGTCGCAGGTGCATTCTGGGAAGTCTGTGTTCGCCCGTCTGCTCGCGATGAAACTATCTGACGCGTCGTCACAAATAAGACGTGTAACCGGCTCGATGTCGCGCTGTCCGACCTGCTGCTCGCCTCACGCCTGAACACGTTATCATGCCAAATCCATGAGGGAGGGGGAGGGGGGAGGAAAGGGATAGATTTTTTGGGGGGGGGGCGGCGTGTGTGTGTCTATTTAAAAAGCTGGACAATGTTTAATGCTTGAAAAAAAAAAAAAAAAAGTCATCAGCAAAAAAGATGACGTGAGGAAAAGCTTTGCAGTAAATGAAAACCACCACGAGCAGCGCCCCCCCCCCCCCCCACACACACACACACACCAGTTAAACTCTACTTTTACATGTTTCCAATAATGTGACGCTCTTTTTCCTCCACTTAACTGTCCTGTGAGCAGATGCCATATTATATCATAAACGGCTCCTGTCAATCAAAGGCGCTGCGGCCATTTTGCTCTGACGAAAGAAAATAAACAAACACAAACTGTGAGACTGTCTTTTTGTCATTTTACATTTTGAATGAATACACACAAGCAACCTGAAAAGCTTTAGTCTAACCAGCACAAAGAGGGGGGTGGGGGGGTCGCTCAGACTATGCAGTGGAGTGTTGAACCCGAGCTTCCGTGTCCATCTTGGTTGTTTTTTGTTTTTATTGCTCTTTCAAAATAAAAACTTAAAAAAAAAAAAATCTATTCCAAAAAAGTTTCAAAAACAGTTTGGACGGGATTCCCAATAATATTCCTCAAACAATGTCGTGCCATTGTTTAATCGTACTAATAATAATAACGGAAAACAAACCTTTATCACCTAGCAACCGTCGGGCCAGTTGTAGCAGGAGAGGACCGCTCGAGATTTGCAAAGTCCATTTTGTCATTTTCACAGCTCGTCTCAACGAGCTGGGGGGGGGGCCGGATGGGGGGCCGGTGAAAACTGCTAATTTTACACAACTACAATGTTTTTTTTAATAGATTCTATCAATACGCGGTGTGTAGTTGTATCACCTGTAAACCTACTATGCACATTGCTTTGGGAGACTGTTGAAACTATTCTATACATATGTGTGTACATATACACACGTATGTGTATATATATGAGAATATAAACGTACAGTGTCTATAATCAACGGGAAGGACGTCTTCCTCACTTACAAACAAAACAGGAAGTACCTTTTTATTTTCAAATGTCTTCCTCGGGTCATCAAAAGGATTTTATCTTTAACTTCAGCGGAAACTGCACTTTTTGAAGGACAATCTTTATTTGTATGGGTATAAAAATTGACAAAAACGAAGTCGCCTGATATTACAAGGTATAGAAAACCAACTCCAGTGTGCTCTAATGAATGTCTCCTCTGATGCTGTCTGTTCGTTTGGTTTCATTTAATCCTTTTTATTCTTTGTTACTTGGTTTGTTCTGTATTTTTTTCTCTGGATTTTAGTGCTCTTAAGAGGATCTGTATTAAGGTGTAGAGTAGTAAGTAGTAAGTCTTCTGTTGGCTGTACTCGTATACTGATTACTGTTTGTAACCCTCGGGCTCCTGCAGCCGTCATACAAAGCTGTAAAACTTACAACCCTCAATAAAAGACTAACAACGACGGCTCTGCTTCGCCTCTTATTGATACCTGCAAGATATTGCAGTGAATTTTCCAGGATCCAAATTTATAATTCCCTTAGAAATGTTAAGTGCCTTTAAACAGGTCTCAATACACCATTCAGGTCCTGCTTAATGTGTTCTATATTCATTAAAGTCATATAGACGTCAACGTGCATCAAGTCCAGTGGTTACAACCTCAGATTCCACAACATGCAAATGATTTATAAATTGTAATGCAATGACTTGAGCATTCTATGACATTTGACAAAGATCCCTTGAATGTAGACTGGAGGAGCCTCAACTGAAAGACTGCCTAAATAATTCAAGTGTGTTGAGTTGCTTACAGCCAACTATCTTACGTCATAAGTGTACAAGAACTTCAAGAATTTGTAAAACCACTTTGGATCTGCTGTTAAACGGGTGTGTTCCGTTTACGATATCTGACCGGGCTGAAACATGGCAATAAATAACAGGTACACAGAACTATACAACATGTGTATTTATTGATCTATTTGAGAAATTATACATTGGAACCACGTTGTGGAGCTGGGAGAAAGAAGTCAATCAAACCTGTGTTATAGCCATATTTTGTTTACCTCCGAGCTCCGAAAAAACATTTAAATACAGTCAAACACAAAACACGGCAGCTTGACTTCAACGATGCCGTAATGGACAGAGGAGCCAGGGGAATTTGCTTCCTGTGGGGTCACGCCGGGGTCGACCAACCTCTGTAAGAAATACACAACGGTGAGTCGCTCAAATCGGAGGCCGACGAGTCAGAAAGAGGCCGACTGGAGAGAACCGACCTGTGAAGTTATTCATACACGTCCTTCTTGTCTGCGATGTACTGTACAATCTCCTCGGGACTCATCAACTTCTCCGCCTCGCCGTCGGGGATCTCAAAGCCTGCAGGATGCAAAAAGGTCACATGACGTCTCCTGATAAGAGACTGCAGCTGGCATTGTGACCGCGTGGCCGGCTGAGATTAAGTGGTTGGCGTAGAAACTGGTGAACAACATCACGAGACGAACCGAGGGGTTTCAAGCCTCGATTAATATGATTAAAAAGTATTCTTTTAGGTCCAATATAAACAGATTCATCTCTTAATCTGGGGAGGTTACATATGAAATGTTTTTTGGGTCCTACAGGTCTGCAACTAATGATTGTTTTCAGAACTTTCTCTTAATTCATTTTCCAACAAGTGTACAAAGAAGTTGATTTGCATTGTCAGACTTCATGACACTCAGTTTGCAAACACTGGCTTAAAGAACGGGTTAAACAATTTATCATCAGAATTTTTGCAGATTATCTTAAGCGAAACGAACACGCTTAGCATAGTCACAGAAGCTCAACCCAATCCTCTGTGCTTTTTTGTCAATACATTTTTTTCACAGACAATGATTATTTCTGCTTGGCAAGTAAAAAAAATAAAAAAGATCAGACGGAGCAGCAGCTACGAGCCGACTCACCAAACTCGTCCTCCATGGCCATGATGATCTCCACCTGGTCCAAGCTGTCCAGGCCCAGGTCTTTCATGAAGTGGGAGGTGGTCTGCAGCTGTGGAGCAGGAAGCAAAACATTAGAAACCAAAATAATGGACGTGTCGCTGGTACGGCCTAAGGCAGAAGGTGATGTCACGTTGAGCCATGTCAGTCCCGCTGTGTGGACAAATACTGACAACAATTCATGACATTATTAAATACCTCTCATTAGCGGGATTATCTCCCTACAGAAGTCAGTAAAACAAGCATTTAACATGACTTCATCCCTTCACATACACCAACAGATGATCTGTAGGTCACATCTAAAGAATCCCATGAGGATCAAATCGCCGTTGAGCAGCTCCAGGAAGTGAAGCGTGTGCACGTGAACATGGTCTTTGACTAAAAGCATATAGCAGAAAGTGATTGTAACATTTAGGTTGCCTTCGAACGGAGACATCCAGGTTACAAATAAATTACGTGAGATACATTTTTCGCATGTGACTAGCTAAGTGACGGGCGAAACGTGCATGCATCCTTCTCAGCGTCATCCGGCAGTCTGTCAGCCAGCTGCCGCCCCGTCCTCTCTTACCTTCTCGGGGTTGATCTTGTCATAGAGCTTCAGGACGTACAGGACGCGGTCTTTGATGGTTTCTAGGGTGAGGGGGGGCAGGTCCCCGTACTGTCTGCACAACACGCCCACTGAGGGGACCTGAGGAGAACGAGAAGAGGGGTCACAAACAGGGACGACAAAGGTCATGGAAATGCATGAATCCCAACCAGAAGAGGGTTTAAGGACACACTGCTGCAGCACTCCATATTAAGCAACGCACACGACACGCAAGACTAATATGGTTATGCATCGAATGCGCAACCATTGTGTTTAGCGTCTGGAGCCCTGCATTGATATCCACCGGCTTACGCTGCAGCAACACTGTTCCCTGAACAAACAACAGGGAAGCTTGTGAACAACAAAAACTGAGTTACGTAGACATCTCAACACACACAAGCAAAAGCACAAATCAAACACAGTGACAAATCCACCACATCTTCACATGACAACTAGTGGATCACCGAGTCACCTTTAATTAAATGTGCAATGTGATTGCTTTAACTTAGTTTGACTGACTGTAGCTACCAGCACGTGCTTTGCATAACCCAGATTCCTATGTAGCTTGACGTCATCATCATCGTGGGACAAGCTATTAGTTAAAGCATAATGGAACCATCACTAGTGCTTCAATACACACAAAAAAAAACAGATCACGAACAATCAAATAAGCACCACGTTAAAGTCTGCGAAGCGCCATTAGCACGTTAGTGCTGACGGAATTAGCTGCTAGCGTTAAGAAGCAATTAGGTTGAAGTTCAATTGAAGCATCAATGTGTCTGCGGATTGAAGGTGAGACGACGAACAACAACACAAATGTTTGTCAATGAACTCATTAGCTTTGCTAGTTAGCTAGCTAGCCCAAAAAAGCAAAACATGGCTATTGTGTAATCTAATAATACAACGTTGTGCGGTTCCGTAAACATCGCGTGATTTCCTCTCTTGGTTAAAACAAACGACTCGCACGGGGTCCCGAACCTTAAGCGGGCCGCGGGAGCCGGCCGGGTTTGAAAGGCGTCGGTAGGTCACGGCAGCGAACGCAAGGCCCCGGCGGCTCAATGTTACCGCGGACACTCACCCGGCTCCGGAGGAGCAACCGCGGCCCCCGGCTGTCGGCGGCGAAGGTCAGAGGTCGGTGGACGGCGGCTGACGGGGCGACAGCGGCTCTGACTGCCGCGTTACCGGAGGAGAGCCTCAGCGAGGGCCGGGCCAGCGTGCGGACACACTGCTGCAGGACACGGGCCGCCATGACGGAGAAGTGATTGCGGCTTCCCGGCGTGCAAAGCGAAAAAAGAAACGCGTCAGGGGCGTTACGCATGCGCGTAAACTGACTCCGAGTCTTATTTCGTTTTTATTTTTATTTATTTTTATTTTAGTTTGCTTTGTATGTGTTATTGTGTTATTTACTAAACGTACTGTCAAAAAATGAGTAAGAATGACTTTGAAATACAAGATTTGAGAGGAAATAGGAGGATCCGGTCCAGACGAGATCAATCAATAACAAAGACACATTGCAGATTAGTTGTTGGTAATTACATTACTTTGCCAAATAACTTATTATTATTTCAAATTTTTATAGAAATATATGACTCTTCAACTAAACTACTCAAATATAAGATATATAGCTCTGGACTTTGTTTGGCTTGATAAATCGACGGTTTGACACTCAACTCATTTGGTCTGGAATGACATTCACATAGTCGGTCGAAGGGGAGACGCTGACAGCAAAACAGACAGAGTTATAATTACTGGTCTATCACAACTGTCTTTAATATTTTATTGTACAGTATATTCATCCTTAGACATGGAGCTGTCTGAAATACTGTACAACAAAGCAGAGTACATCGAAACGGTAATGTAGTGTTTGCTTTGAATCCGTTGTTGGCTAACGTTAGCTAGGCGCTTGCTAATTGGCTAACCGCAGCTAACCCAAACAGGGCGTCGCGCTCCGGATAACTGAAATCGTTGATGCAGACTTTTATGAGATTATTAACCTTTTTGTCGTTATCTGTAGGCTTCTGGCAATAAAGTGAGCCGACAGTCAGTGCTGTGTGGGAGTCAAAACATCGTACTGAATGGCAAAGTAAGAAATCAACAAAGAGACACCTGACAGTGACGTATGTTGTCCTTGACTCACATGTCGTGGTTGTGTTCTCTCCTCCAGACTATTGTCATGAATGACTGCATCATCAGAGGAGACCTGGCTAACGTCAGGGTGGGCAGACACTGCGTGGTGAAGAGCCGCAGCGTCATTCGACCGCCTTTCAAAAAGTTCAGCAAAGGGTAAAGAACCCGTGAATGGATGACGCAGGTTGATTTCCTGTCAGTCATCGGATCCACTGATCAACTCATTGCTTCAGCTGGTGTACAACAGGGGTCTGTCTCTGTGTTGCTGATACTGAACCCATCCCTCCTCTAGGGTGGCATTCTTCCCGCTGCACATCGGAGACCACGTCTTCATCGAGGAGGACTGTGTGGTCAACGCAGCGCAGATCGGTTCCTACGTCCACATTGGAAAGAACTGCGTCATAGTGAGCGTTAAAATGAAAGCGCACACACACACACACACACACACACACACAACCGAGCAGGGAAAAAAGGAAACATGAGGACAGAGACAAAGCTGTGCCCCGCTACGGGAGAGAGGACATAAACAGAAGCAGTGTCTCCTCCACAGTCACATGGTAGTCACGTTCAGACTGCAGCCATGAGCGGAGTTCTGGAGTGAAATGCAAAAGCATCAGATGTGGTTCATTTTATTCACTGTTATTGCAGTTGAGCCGTGATTCATGTTCCTTTAACGCCATGAGCATCGTTTATCACGATGAGCAGAATGCAGAAAGCATTTCACTCGACAGCTGATGGTTGCTTGTTTTGTTTGCAGGGTCGTCGCTGTGTGCTGAAGGACTGCTGCAAGATTTTAGACAACACCGTCCTCCCTCCTGAGACCGTGGTGCCGCCTTTTACCGTCTTCTCCGGATGCCCAGGTCAGCGACGCCGCACAAACACACTGCTGACTCCGCCCCTTTCTGTTTACCCGGCACGTCCTTCACCTGCGTTTGTCTTTTCCTCTCTCAGGTCTTTTTTCAGGAGAGCTGCCGGAGTGCACGCAGGACCTCATGATTGATGTGACCAAGAGTTATTACCAGAAGTTCCTGCCTCTCAGCCAGATCTGAGTCCCGCCTCAAAGCCGCCAGCAGGATCCTCACCTTCTCCGGCCAAGTCGCGGGTCGGAGTCTCTTACCAGAAATGGACTTCTGGGGCTCACCTGCTATCCTTCACCTCACAACAGCCCCGACGCTGTCTGACCCGAGGACAAACATGTTGTCCTTCTAAGAACATGGATATGATTTCACAGTTGTTTATAGCTGCAGGAGGCAATTGTGCATATTTACAGCTCCGAATGGCAATGAGAGTCTTGAAGAGTCTTTACTGAGCTGCATGCAGCACCTTCATGTTCCAGAAGCTCCAGGACCTCAGCGCGGCTGCCGATAATCACAATCTACGCTCTCTCACAGCGGCTGTGGGCGAAGTCGGGAAGGAACACGGCTTGTAGTATAAAGTGTAACACTCAAGGACCAAAACAACAGATGTTGGCTGTACATCATTGATGTCCACATTTCATTTGAAAAAACAGATCAGTAGACGTAAAGGTTTGTGAAATATATTCTGTGATTGTCATTTTATTTCTAATGTTGCAGAACTTTTTGCTTTCTCCCTCAATTTGTCATAAAACGTATTTAATAAGTAATTTAATTGTTCATCATCCGCTGCCTCCTGTGTTTTTCATCTTTTCTGGGCATAAAATAGCGAAAGCCAACATCTAAAACAGTGCAGCAATTGAATAAACATAAATGCCTGAAAAACAATTGTGTGGACTTTTCCCTCTGACTCCATTTCATATGAATCCAGCTTGTTTGTCACCTCATACTTTCCGTTGGACATTTGCAGTTTGAATCCGGCATCGTTCGCATCCGTGTTGACAGATGACTGAAAAGTTCAGTGTTTTATCACAACGGGAGTAGACACAGAATCTTTGCAGCCTCATGTCGTCATCGTGGACTTGTGACAAGAAAAAGAGGTTTTATATTGTGCACATCTGGCGCGACCCAGTGGCAGACAGCACAGCTGATATGAATCTCATTTCTGTGACCAGATCAGTAAAAGCATCGGAGAGGCCTGAATAACATCATCCTGTAACAGAGGTTTCCTGTTACACCCCCCTCGCTGCAAGTGGCCACTTGATTCCATTATCTCTGCAAAGTTAATTATAAACATTACTTTCATGTTAAAACTCAAATACATTAAACCCTTTTTTACAATTAAACAGTTTGACATGTCGTGTAAACATCTTCCTTCTTTGGACAAAACGAACACTGTGCAAATTATTCTTGGCAAAACGGTTACACAAACCTCCCACATTTAAAAATGAAACAGTTTGTCTCAATTTCAACTCAATGGTTTTATTTATTTTACAATGTGAACCACATATATCATACCAACAATTAAATGTTAAGTATATAGATTAGCCATTTATTATTTTTTTAAACAAATAAGTATCAAGAAACTGTTGATGATAGTGTTGCTCCAGAGACACGTGGCATGAGTCAGCCTTTTGAAACAACGTGGATGAAGGCCGGGGGGGAGGGAGAAAAAAAAAAAACTCCATTATAAACAGGCTAATCAATGGGGGAGGGGGTCAGCGGAGCAGATTGAACAGCGGGGGTCAGAGGGACGGTCCTGCTCAGTCAACTCTTTGGAAAGAGATCCTCCGATAGTCTGAATGTCGCCGTTTGGTTCCCGCCGATGACGCTGCCGGTGACGCTGCCGGTGACGCTGCCGGTGACGCTGCCGGTGACGCTGCGGCGTGTTGGACACGCGGCAGCAGTTTAAGTGCCTGGACAGATGAAGAGCATGTGGACGAGCCGTCGGGTCCGGGTCCCCCCCCCCCAGCATCCGGTTGTAGTCCAATGAGCACTGTGCAGAGTCCCAGAGTCTAAAACGGTCTGGTGGACTCAAAAGTGTCACTATTTTTGAGGGGCAATGTTCCTACTGAAGAAACGTGGATCCTTCCTATGTTACATTAGTCGCTAGACCTTTGCTAGTCAATCAACACGATCGCTGGAAGCAACTCAAATCGCACTTTTCCAATATAAAAGGTTACATTTGCATCAGTCGAACTCAGTGGTTTCACGTGTATGCGAGAACAAACTCCGAAACTCTTCGCTTTGACAGGAGCAACTGAACGTCTCCTCGTTCACTGGTGAATATAAAAGACAACTTCTTGCGCAAGAATGAAATCTGTGACCAAAATGTAACAGAAGTTAAAAACTGGCATGCTTTATACAACTAAAGAAAACCCACTTTCCAGGTCATGAAAGGACGTGAAGACGCCAACCAAAAGGAGGAATCCATTGATATCTACAGGTACAGCTGGAGGTTTACGCTCCGATAACTTCCTGTACCTCCAACATGGCAGCGTATCCTGGAAATATTTAGTACGTTTTCGATAACTAGACAAATCAAAAAGGTTTCCTAATCACTTTGTTAGCTTCTGGTGCTAAGAGAAAGCATGTTCCAACAATGAGTTTTACAGCCACAAACTAGATTCAACACCAGCGATTTTTCTTTAAGTCCCAGGAAATTTGTGCAATCCCACTTTATACGACTTCGCAAACAGATGAACGTACCCTCAATTTCAGACGTGTGTGATATCAGCGTCTCCTCCTCTGTTACAGGAGGATGGAAGGCAACAACCATCTCCAGAATGAAGCAAGCCCCGAGTTGCATCAACCTGCGGCAGGTGAACCAAAGCCACGCAGGTCGTATTGATGCGCGCGACCCTCAAAGAGCAGCCGGAGGAACTCCAGCGCCTCGTGTGCACGGCTCAGTGGGCCTGCTGGGAAACGCTACTGTTGTAAACAGCCGTGTGATAAATGCTTTGCTGATCGAAAGCATCTTCAGATGCATTAAATCATTTGACGGGGGACGGTTTGGATTCTTGGCACGCGAGTGGAGCTCGCACGCAGAAACGCTCAGCGGCGACCCCGCCCCTTCTGAAGCGCTTTTGGAAGCGGAGGCGAGGGCTTAACGCTCCAAGAAGCAACCTGCAAGTGGTGTCTGGGCGGGACGCGAAGGCTGCAACTGGGACACGACGGAAGAGCCGATTTGTTTGCATGAGATAGAGGTGAAAGGTAAGTGCAAAAATTGCAACTCATCAGAATAAATCACAAGGGCACATAACAAAAAAAACAGCAGCTGCTTTCTCAATAAGACTGGGGGTTAGGGCATTGTGGGTGATGGGGGGGGGCAGTCAGAAGAAGGGCTGTCTGACAAGCTGTACACACAAAGAAAATCTATTCCCAGTTCCATTATCCTCGGACAACAGAAACATGGTGGAAAGTAATGCAAACATCCAGTTGGCTACTGATGCAAACAGAGGCAACAAACAGTCGCAACACTTGTGGTTGAAGAACTAAATTAAGCAGAGAGTCTCGTGACCTCGGGCCACAGAAGTGGAACCGGGCTACGAGCGGCAGACAAAGGGCCCGACGGGGTCACGGATGTGCTCCGAATGGGCATTGTTCGCTCCGCCGCCGTCGACCCCGAGAGCGGCGATGACAATGGAGGAGGAGAAACATAAACACCAGGTGGGTGGAGTCTCCGACGAGAGTTGGGTCCGAACATTTGGCGTGCATCTCGGTTCACTGAGTGAGACTTTTGATCATGGCCCTCACTTCCTTATTAAGGTGGTGGGTGAGGGTGGGCGGGGCCGAGGGAGGGGTCAGAGCCGGGGACTTCCTCCCTTGTCTCCTGTCTTGGGGGGGCGGGGGTTGGGGGTGTGGGGGGGGGTGGTCTGTCTGTCTCTCTCAAACACACACACACACACACACACACACACACAGGTTAGGAGTTCTGATTGCACATCAGTGATTAGTAGTAGTGAGGAGAAAGGAGACAAGGAATAGAACACGTTCAACATTGGAAATCACCACACTGAGATCGTCAGTCCCAGTTCTCTTTTCAGCCCGGCTTCTGTTGCACCGCCAGACATCCGAATGTCCGCGTCCGTCCCACATGAGCCCATCCGTCCCATTCTCACCTCGCCGTGGCTTTTAAAAGGCGTCTCCCCCCCCCAAACCCCCCACATGCCCCCTCCCACCCCTCCACACACGCAGGCAGGCAGCGGATCAGATCATCCTGTTGCGTTTGTGTGTAGGAGAGTCTGTGATGACGTCACTACACTGGGTGGAGTTTCGTTTCCTGGCCCCTCCCCCTCCGGCAGAGGCGGAGCCTGTAGAGTCCAGATGCAGTGCCATCTCTTCCGAGATGAAAGTGTTCAGGTCGACGTCTTGGAGCCCGTTCCGCCTGCTGCGGCACACCGGCGTCGAGCCAGAGGAGCCGCCCACGCCGGCGGCGCCTCCGTTGCTGGTGCTCCCGCTCACGTGCGTGGGAGACCCCGGAGCACCGGAGCGCACACTGATGCTCGCCATGGCGCCACTCAAACCTGTGGGGGAGGGGGACCGAAAAGAGCACAAGACAGACATTGAGGCGCCAGTTGAAGAATTATGACAGAAGCAGACTTGATCACACAGGTTGAAATGAATAACTGAAGGAAAAGAGAGTCTAGTAGCAGCTTCACGGACTGATGGCGGGATCGAAGGCCGCACATCCATCAATGGAGTCTTTTGAGTGGACCAACAGTGACACATCACTAATGCATCAAATCATATCTGCACTAGAGGTCAATAGCAGCTTTTGAGGTCACAGGTTTAGGAAAAAGACTAATCCAATTAACCGACCTCTGATTTTATTCATGAGTAAACCATCGAATAAGATGGTGTTATTTGTAGGATTTTGTCATTTGAATAGGTTCTGTATATTTAAAAGCACCGGTGAACTCACTTCCTGGATGGATGATAGCAACATGCTTCCTTTAAGTGAGGATTTAGGAATGAGGACACGCACAGAGAGACGAGTAGGTGGGAGTCATATACCTGAAATCTCCTACGCTTATGTTACATGAAATATGAAGCTGAATCTTTAGCTAATGTAGAGCGACGGTCACATGTTGCCAAATGACTTCACTACTCAAAAGATTCATCACTTCAAGTCTCCGTCTGGGTTTCTCTCAACAACAAGTTTCTCACGGTTTAATCTTTAACCTAAGACATAAAGGACTCTACTTTTTGGACATTAAAAGATAACAGGAGTCAAGTTCAAGCCTCATTACAATCACACGGACTCTCTCAAACCCAATAACACAAATACACAATACCATTCAGGAAAACAATGAAAATATTGTATAAATGGTCCAGGTTATCTTGTTCTGAATTCATGATGCAGCTTTTCATTTCTAAAAGCCTTTCACAATGGTGAGATAGTGAATATACACAACAGTAGCTACACGTTTTGATGGGAATACTAAGTTTGTTTGAAAGAATCTGTGAACTTGACTAAGACGCCAGGAGTGTGAATCCTGATCCGTCCGTATATCAAAACGACTGTCGGACCAAACTCCCCCAGACGGAAGTGGTTGATGTCAAATGGCATCAGATAACTGAGAAAGGAGATGCGATGAAACCTACTGACAAAGAACTAGTGTTTCTTTAGGGGGGGGGGCATGTATCAACGTATTCATAATGTCAGGAAACTGACTATCGAGCAGAAACATTAGCTGCTTACAGTCCAGGGTCGGCGACCAACTACTTTGCCTTTGATGAAGTGACGCGTTCCCTCTCACAAACACACTCGGGGCCATGAGGGCGAGGCCCTCTTTCATCACCGGCCAAAACCAAGGCTGACCCTCATCTCTGAGCCACATGTGGCCGAGGACGATGACTGAAAGACCAGCACGCTCCCTCAAACACACGGTGACCAAGTACCTCTCTTTACTTGGTATCAGCCTGTAACACAGTCGTATAGGGTGTGTGGCGGGCGTGCACTTCACCCACCATGCAGTGCTATGGCCTCCCTAAAAGGCTGCAGGTCTGTTTCCACGGATGAGCCGGTCTCGGCTGGAGAATTCGCCCGGCTGGGAGCCACCATGGCCAGTCGGGGGTTGGCCCTGCTACTCCTGTGTGGTGGCGCTTTGCCGCACAGAAAGCTGATAAGATCCTCCCTTCGGATGGTTCTCCGGCGCTTTTTTACCCAGGCCAACATGTCCTGCAATCCAATAAAGGTGTTATGCATCCATCAGTTACACAGTTCGATTCCCTCCAACAAGCCCAGTGAGTTTCTTTTACCTTTAGCATCCCTGTTGTGTAAACCTAATAAAAGGCGATCAGCTCTTTCCTGAATACCCAACAAACAGTAGATGGAGAATGGAAGTGAGCTGCCCAAAAAGGTAAAAGAGAACAAGACCCACCTTATTACGGCGTTGGTGGCCTATCTGGATTCCCCGATCAAAGCTTCTCTGATGGGCCTCCGCGCTCTCTGTGAAGGTGAAAGACATCATGAAAAACGCTAAATCATTATCATGGAATCTAAGGGCTCACAGATATGCACGATATGTTTAACAGGGACAATGAAGATAAATCCTATAAAGTATAAATGGTATAATGTATAGATCTTTAGTTCTGTAGGTTTGCTTGAACCCTTTTTTTGGAAGGTACACAGAAATAATAGGAGTCAAGTCCAGTACAATCTCATTCTTACTGCAACAAAACACACTGGTGAATTCCAGACATTGTTATAGACTATTCTTCTGTTTGGTCTAGTTCCTTCTTAACCCGCACAGTGAAAATGTATTTCGCTGCCATACAAAACCCAGCCAGCCCTGTGACGGACTGATAAATATGGAGTGGGCATCAATAAGAGCTACTTCTGTTTGCCTATTGATAACAACATCGAAGCACAGTGAGAGCCGGCGGCGGCCCCAGCTGTCCTCCACAGATCGACACAAACCGCTCGGGGGGGCCCAAGGGTGCAGAGAAGAGGGATGCGGTCGGGTACCTTTGTAGAGGTTGGTCACTGCTGTGGCAGAGTTCTGAAATGGCACCCACAACGACAGTCCCTGCTGATGGCATGCCCTGTCTGTGTGGGGGGGGGGTGGAGGAGGGGAGGAAAGCGAGACATTGTTTGGTTTCTGCTCCTGTTACATTTGGCCCTCGTTGTGATCAACAGTGGGAGGAAAAACAAAACAAAAAAAGGACAACAATCCACATCTGCCGCGCACAGCTGCGTGGCAATTAAACGGAACCCGTTCCATTCGCCATTTTGTCTTGCATCTACAAAACGCAGGGGGACGAGGTTCGGCACGAAAATAACTCGCCAGCCAGCGCGGCACGAAAACCACCGACACGCCAACTTATCTGCCCCCCTCAGCAGGAAAGTTGCAACGCCGCGTCAAACGCGGAACGAGCCGCGCGAGCGGAGCTCTGGCTGAGCGCGGGACGCGCGAGGTTCCGAGGGCACCGCGGCCGCAGCGTGTTGTGCACATAACCATTATTTCCACGGCGAACCGACACGGTCCTCGCCATTTTGTGATTATAACGCTGGCCGCGCTGAACAAACTGCTCGCCGGGCAGCGGCGCGGGCGTTTAAGCGGGACGAGTCCGCGTCGTTGGCCGGGGTTCACACGTCGCGTCGCGTCCCGCGTGAAACACGGCAACACGGGCGAGTGTACGGGAGACTGTCATCTGGGAATGTCGCGTAGCTACGATTGTTGTTACCGTCGCCATTTTGTAACTAGCCTGGCTAACGTTACGTTAGCTACGCGACGCTGTAGAACTTGGGTGTCAACACCCATCTTATTGACGGAGAGATCGCTGATAACTTACGCTACTTTAGTTATGTCGCCGGCCGCGGATGTGGTTCTTTCACAATCGAACACTGTGTGTAACAACGGGTGCGAGTTAATAAACTATTTTTTCCACTCACTGGCTAACAAAGCTAAACGTAGCATTGCAAAATCAGCTGTAAACGTTACACAGTAATGGCCAGCGGGTTTGCTAATGAGCTAACGTTAGTTAGCATTCTACCGATAGTGACGCTAACGTTAGTTTATGCTCGGGAAGTAGCCGGGCTGCTAACCGGCAAGTAAAAGGCATAACGTTACCGGCGACGTAAGTAACGTTATGGTCAGACGAACGAGCAAAAAAAAAAAACAAGGAAAGAAAGCTCAGCTTTGGACCTTTGTATAATTGTGCCACAGCAGTGGCGGAGTTCTGGAAGAGATGCCACAGTTTATCCTGATCGTTGTCGGCCTCCTCCTCGCTCGGCTCCCTTTGCTCCGCTTCGGCCAAACACTGCCGCTCCCATTTTGAGAACCAGTGCTCGGGTCCGTGTTCCTGTATCTCCGAGTCTCCGTCTTCCTTCTTCTCCTCCATTTAATGCAACGAACCTCGAGTAAAGGCGCTTTTAATATTTTAATATGTGACTATGTGGACACTGTATGAATAATTATGTGAATAAATCCATGAATAGTGTTTGCTTTTTTAATATTTCGCATTACAGTGTGGCGTTGGACCCTGTTCCCACCACCGGCTGTGAAGATAAGCTTAGCTAACTATTTTTCCTAGCAGCCGACGTCGAAATATATATACGAGGCAGACTAACATGTCATGCGCTACATCCCGCCCACTTGGCCAAATGTCAACTATGATTGGGGACATTAGAACCGAGGGTTCTGCTAAAGTGCTCAACTCCGAATTCTATTGGCTCTCATATATGTACGTCACAGCAATGACACAAAAGAACCACAGTGAAAATTCCTCGCTACTCAAGCTTGCGCGAGAGTACGAGTTTTGTCGCGAATATTGCCCTGTTGTGATAATAAAATGTAATATACTGTAGTACAACAAATATGTAATGTAACATAATATAACATAATACTTGTATTGAAGTATATCGTCTTTATTATAACTTTCTGTAAACGGACTAATCTACTCAATTAATCATGCAAATTATTATTTCAAGAGAAAAAAACAGCTACTGCCGGGGAACACATAAACACGTGTATAAGTGTATATATAATTATCTCGTGATAACTCACCCATGAAATCAGAGTTTTTAAATCGGTGGTAAAAAAACAGCAAACAATTGTTCAGTAAAGAATGCTTAGCGAAATATAAAGTAAACTTAAATACGCACGAGTGAGTTAGTGATTTTTAAAATACCCAACTGCGACAGTAGTTAAGACCGAGTCCTGCTAGTAGTTTTACTTGTATCCACTGAATGGTGCCATTTACTCACATCTGAAGGCTTGACTATTACCACCAAGGTCTGGTGTCGGTACCGCAGATTGCAGACCAGTGTTAACGCGTGAACACCGCATTAAGGGAAATCTTTATTGGACGTCGGCTTGTCCCAAACAGGGGCAATACCCAATTATGTAAGTTTTGGTTCCTCTATGGTATTACGCATTTGCATAATAGCCTGTATTGCTGCAGTTTGATTTGTTTTTTTGCGTGTGTAGGCTATTCATATAAAACAATATATTTTTAACATTAATTCCGTCTGATTTATTTTGGACTTATTTACCTGGTCATATATATATATATATAGAATTAGCCTAGCTAACGTTACGTTAGTTGGCGGAGATATATATATATATATATATATATATATATATATATATACAATATATATACAATATATATATATATATATATATATATACAATATATATACAATATATATACAATATATACATATATATATATATATATATATACATAAAATCAATGTAAAAAGCAATGAACGGGACATAAAATATCTCAGATTTTACTTTAGAAAAGTTACATTTATTATTTTGTTTAACCTAAATTACCAAAAAAGACACAAACAAACTTTACATGCTAGCGTTCAAACGTCCTAATACAGTATTAGAAGCAAAAGAGGCTCTAAATGGATACCAACCATTTGGGTAAACCAAGCCCATTAGGGTAAATAAATAAAATAGATGCTAAAAAAATGCAGCAATGTGCGAACACGTTCAGGTGCAGTTTTTAAGAGTGGAAAGTAGCCTACAGCAATTCTGCAGCACAATGTAAAACATTGCATTGGAGTAAAAATCCGGCTGTTTTTTTTCTATTCATGTTTTATTTGGTTTAATATGCTGCAGGTACATTGTTGGTTTCACCCACACAACTCTTGATCGTGCTTTGCAGGAAACATGTTAATCTGCAGACATAACTGCGGCTGTTCTGCACCGCTCAGTAAAAAGTGAAATATTTGTATAGCTCAGTCCAGTCCTGCAGCCCGCACGTATGCAAAGCCCTGTCATCCCTATAATTTCCATTCATTTGATGATTGTTGTTGGTACTTATCCCCCCACTCCCCTCTTCTCCCCCCGTGGTGCCCTACGCACACGCCTGATCCCGATCGGTTTACGTGGACGTGAACCCGGCCGGGGATGGGCCAGTGTTTAGATCTCCATGCGGATGTGACATTTCGGAGAAGAGCGCGACCGCCATTTTGAGAATTTACCTCCACACACCACGAGCCGCACGGGAGGAGCGCGGGGTTCGAGAGCCAGCCACGCCGCTCGGGCCAAACGTCGTGTGACCGGGCACGTTCCTCACGACCAACGGGGAGGTTAAGCGAGAAACGCGACGAGGCGCCCGCGTTTTGTCGTGCATTGCGTTTAGGGGCGGGTTTTTGTGTGCGTGTGGTGTGTGTGTGTGTGAGGGAGGAGGGTTCGTGTAGCGCGTTGCAACTCTCGTCTCCGCCAACTTCCGAATCAACATTAGCGCTGCTCCGCGTTGGGAAACGGGTTTGAATGGATAGCTTCTCCCTCCGCACTTCCCCAGACGAGGGACAATCGGAGGAGCACACGGACTGGGGATATCGCAGACAAAGTTGTTGAATGTGTGTCTATAGCGAATGAACAATTGTTTTCATTGTTGTATCGGCATCACCAGTTGGCTACCTAGTGTCAGGTAGCGTCACGCTAACTGCAGACGGGGTAACGTTGTTTGTTCCTCGAGGGGCACGTCGGGTCGTTGCGTTGTCTCGCTGCCCCGCGTTTCCCGGGGTAAAAGCCGGATTGATTAGCTAATTTTAAGTGGGCCTCCCTGTTCTGAGCCCCCCCCCCCCCCCTCCCTCCAGCACCCTCCCCCCCCCCGCACCCCGGTCCATCCATCCCACCGTCGAACCAGCGACTCGCACCCACCAAAGGCGCCGAGATTGGGCGAATAGCGAGCAAATACGTCCGCGTTTCTCTACCCGCTCCCCCGCCGACCTCCCCTCCTCACTCCCCGGCGCTGACAGCGGACAAGGCCGAGGTCGCGACAGAGCAGGCCCGGCCGCCGAGCCTCGACCTGCCCCCCCCACCTCCGCATCCCACCGCGCCTCGCCAGCAGTCCGGAACCCGGTTCCCCGCCGAGCCGAACCTGGACAAGGCCGAGGGTAACAGAGAGAGCGCGGAGCACCGCACCACCACCACCACAACAACAGCAGCAGCAGCAGCGGCTGCCAACATGAACCACCACCACCACCACACGCAGCAACAGAAAGCCGGCGAGCAGCAGCTCAGCGAACCGGAGGACATGGAGATGGAAGGTGAGTGGTGGGCCCGAGAACCGAAGACGTTAACACAAATTTTTCACCATTTTACAACCGCGGGAGGAATCCGTTGGGTTTAATTTGTGCAAGCTGAGCTCCACTTTTCGGTAAACACGAAGGCCCCGCAGCTAGCTAGGATAGCCGGTGGCTTCTTCTTTTTTTGCTGATCGTGCGTCCTTTGCAGCATACTTGTGTGTATCTGACCTCATTCTGCGTTATAAGCGAACATGGCTGATATTTATCTCCGCATTCGCACAATTTTAACATTTCCCCGAAATCACCGAAATGTGCCGTTCACCCACAATGTCGGGTATTAGCCACACAAATCACCCGTTCGTCTCGAGCGCTGTATTTCTAAATAAACCCGTTTGTGTCCGCGGAGGTTTTGGTGTAACATGTCCCCGGGTGCAGTTTGCCCAAAGTCGGCGCAAATGCATCCGTTAAACTCCACGCGCACCGGTTGTTGATAAACTGACGTCGCGTGTTTGTCAACATTGTTAGTCTGCAATTAACGTGGAACCGCCGCAAAGGGAGTCAATGGAGCTGCTTTGACTCCTCAGTGCGCTTTGGGTTGATTTTTGACAGTTATCGGCACCCGCGTCCCCCGTCAAAGTTAGCTGCGACGTGAACAACGTAACCATAACGATACTTAAATTGTTGTCGTGTAAATTTAGACCCTTAATTACCGTTTGGCACGTCGCGTTAAGTCGGCCGTTTCAAAAGCGACTGTTAGCATCGTGTCTGATGGATCGTACGTCAACGGTGGGCCTGAAAAGAAACGGTAACGATATCGGTTGATAAATGACGTTCCAAGGTAAACTGTCCGTTTGGCCCCGAAACTGTGACGACGGTGGATTTGATTGCACAATAAGTATGTAAATACCTTTTGGTTGCTGTTAGTGCCGGGAATTTGTATAACTGTAATGTGTGGAATAAGCTGAGTGAACGCAATGTGCATTGCTAGTGAGACCGCTAATTTTAAGCTAGTCCGTTAGCTTCAAGGCCCAACTCGTTGCGTTCATTCGCTGGCTAGCATGCTAGTTAGCTGATCCGCTAACACTAACGGAGGGGGTGTGTGGCGTTCCAAAATGGTGGCGTGTATTTTGCAACGTTCGATCTAGATGTTTTTCAAATGTTAGGCCTGGAATATTTGCCCCACGCAGTCGAGTTTTTCCACCTGTTAAACAAGGCTGCGTATTGATTCAAACCACACACACTGGGTGCTTTTTCACCTTTCCGATAGCTAGAGCCGATTCGGGTAATTCAAGCTAATGTTAGCTAATAACTGCCTGCAGATGAATAAATGACTGGTGTTTGCTAGCTAGCTAGCTAGCACTAACGCAGCTAGCTAAGGTAGCTAGCACTAACGCAGATGCGTTAATCGTGATTTGCTGAATTGACTGTGGGACAACACGCTAAGCTATGCCAGCAGAGCCGATGGCAATTCGGCAGACTAAATGCAAATTATGTTTATGTCGAGTTGTTAATTTTCAGTTTGACGGCGTTTTAATTTAAACGCGTGAAAGGGCTGGTTAACAATAGTCGCCGCTGCAGTAAGCCAGGCCCGCACGGAGGCAGCGCGGGGATTTGCTGCTTCATTGTATGGACGACCAAACGGCATGGAGCTCGCCATTTTTAATGATCTCTGTTATTGTTAGTCAGCTTTGTAGCCGGGCCATCCATGCTAGCGCTTGATGAGAGTTTCACACGCAGGACACCTCACTAAACGCCATTTTCGGAAGTTTTTTTATTAAATGAAAGTCAACTATGTACATGGCAGAGGCTCGGGGGCGCCTTCAGCATCACTGCGTCATTTGGCCCCAGCGATTTTTATTATCCCATCGCACCCACATGGTTGCTTGTTATTTGCTTGCATGCAATGTATATCTATCGTACAAAACGTAAATAACATATATAGTACAAACGTACAAACGGCACCGGGCTTACTCTGTATGATTCATTTTATTATTTGCCTGCTAGCAGCAGGTGCACAGGCCAGACTTCCTCAGCCATAGTCGCTGGTTCACCTTTGTTGGATTCTCTCCCAGTGCACTGTAGGCTTACAGACAGTGAAAACAATTTGACACAATAAACTCTTATTTGCTTTCTTCCTGCTTATATAAAGCCTTGATACAGTTGCAGTGGGGTTAATCCATCTCGGTCATTTATGTTTCTCCTCAGCAATCTAACTAGGATGCCAGGCCGGGGCTGACCGCTTTGATGCTTGTCATGGCTCTCGTAACGTGTAAGCAATTTTTAGAAAACAAACATTACATTACATACAGTTTCTCTATTTAGCGTTCCTAAAAAATCTAATGGGAGAAATGGAATGACGAGATTGTCATGGAGATATTTTCGTAACTTATTACTGCATCGACCGTCATCTGTTCTGTAGTAGGATCAGATTCTGTGTCATAACCTTGTTGCTGAAGGTTAAACGCACATCTGCAGTTGTTTTTTTATTTTATTTTTTTACCCAATGTACAGTTGTCTCATCATAGAAAATTGGTCTTGAGACTGTTATTTGCTGTTTTCAATCCTAACCATGTGGACTTTCAAAAATTAGGAAATATGGGAGCTGTTGTAGTGTGATCATGGCAGCTTTTCAATTCCTGAGACACTGGGAAATATTTGTAAAATAATTAAATTGTTAGAACCATTTCCGTCCGCGCCATGTGCAGATAAGCTAATAAGATATACAGATTGTACTGAAGGTGAAATTTGGGCTTCAAGACGCTGCATTTGTCAGCATTGCAATCCATATACATACATGTACTCATGCATAAACATGCTTAGGTGCACATGTCATCATTTAAACAAATTATTCAATTACGAAGCCAGGTGTGATCAACACAGACGATGCATATGCAAGTAACCATATCATATTTCACCTGAATTGCTGGTACTGATACATTAGAAAGTAATTTTCTAAGGTTTCAGGATAGACCGACACAGTTGGCAGAAAAAACGGTTGTCATGGAGTTGACTGACAGACCCAATTATTGCTGTGTAATCCACTTGAGGAAACGAGGTCAGTCTCCATGAGGACTCGGGCCAGTAACGTTACCCAGAGACCGAAACACACACACACACAACTCTCACATTGCACCTGTCAGCTCAGAGGAAACAAGGTTCACAGATACACGTGAAATACAATGTAAGCAGCAAATTGAGAACATTTTGAAGGCCTTTGCCTGGAGTTCTCACATCAATGCTGTTGCGGTTCAGTCTGGCTTCGGTTGCATTGGATTTCAATCAGTCCTTGGAGTCTACCCCAAGCTCTTCTGTCATCAATGTGTTTTGATAGGCGAGACCGTAGAGGCGAATTATTATTCAGAAGGGATGATTGTTGTCCTCGGTGCGCGTGGGTTTTTGGTTGAGCGGTGACTTGCAGCCTAATCCTGCATTGTGTCCATAATTACCCGGCCTACTGTATGTCGCATGCTCTTTGTCACACAGACACACAAACGTTCTCTCTCTCTGACTCACAGACTGTGAAATACAACGTGTATTGCTGTCTCAGCTCAGTTTCCCCAGTGAAATGTATGAAAGGGCCATGGGGGGGGGGTCTCTGTCTTTGTGTGTTTGGAGATGAAGTTGAAGACAGTAGTTAACACACTAAAAAGGTGTGATCCTGGTAGATGTAATGATCAGCCTACGTTTTCTTTCTGACCTGTTGAAGTCACTTGTTTGGCAAAGCAAGCTCTCCTTCAATTGAAGGAAGGTCTCTAGCCCGCCGTCTCTGCTCGAAGCATAGTGTCTTATTATGGTGTTTCTGTCACAGCTGGGGACACAGACGACCCTCCAAGAATCCCGGCCAACCCAGTGATCAATGGTAACGTGGCAGTGGCAGATGGACACCACAACACAGAGGAGGACATGGAGGATGGTGAGGACGATGTGCAGTTACACTGACAAACATGATAACAAAACACAAGCACTTTTGGTTGTCTACTAGACGAAATGCTCTTGGAGTCAAATGACTTGACTTTAGAACAAAGGGAAGCCTCTGGGCTTAGTTTGGTTACGCTCTCACTCGGCTGTAGTTCAGAGTTAATGACTTGTGGCACATCGAAGTAAAAGAATAAATACCAAACAAGAACTCCGACCCAGTTTTAAACCGTCTTCCTCGGAGGTGTCCACACTTAACCTTGTTTCAAAGCCTTTTTAAAGGATCCAGGTTCTACCTGGTCCGATTTATTACTGGTCAGCTTATTGACACCGAGGTCGTTGGTCTTGGATTAACTTGTATCCGTTTACCAGAAGCACCTGTTCTTTGAGGCTGGAGGAAGTCTGTTTGCTGTCTGACCTGCCCACCCTTTTCCCCCCGCCACACGGCGTCTTTCCACAGACACCAGTTGGCGGTCAGAGGCGACTTTCCGCTTCGTAGTGGAGCGCTTCAGCCGCCTGAGTGAGTCTGTGCTCAGCCCGTCCTGCTTCGTCCGCAACCTGCCATGGAAGATAATGGTGATGCCGCGCTTCTATCCCGACCGGCCACACCAAAAGAGCGTGGGCTTCTTCCTGCAGTGCAACGCAGAGTCAGACTCCACGTAGGTGTCTTGGTGGGACGAGGGATTCGGGGCGCGTTGCAGAGACACACAGGCACAAAGTAGAAACCTTTTGGTACACTTTCGGGCATCGTTTTCACCACAACCAACAAAAATCGTCTCGATACTCAATAGTTGAGATACCAAAATAACTATTTCCTTTGTTATTAATGCCATTTTCTAAGGCAACTCTCTTTTACAAAACTGGTGTTCAGTCAGTGCAGACATATCTAAATTTTGCCAATTGTATTCATTTCCAACATCAATGCTGATAACCTGTTTTCATAAATTGTGTGTTAAATTGTTGACTTAAATCTACAACTGGATCCAGATCTGTAACATCATTTATGGGATACTTGCGCCGAAAATTGCTTATTTTGTAATGTTCTGTCTCAAAATGTAAAGTAGCTAAAGGAGTTGTGGGTGCTGTTGTTTCAGGTCATGGTCGTGCCACGCGCAGGCTATGCTCAAGATCATCAACTACAAAGACGACGAGAAGTCCTTCAGCCGCAGGATTAGTCATCTTTTTTTTCATAAAGAGAATGATTGGGGATTCTCCAACTTCATGTCCTGGAGTGTAAGTACAGAAAAGAAAAATATATATTTGCTCTTTTAAGAGAGAGAGCGGCTGATAGAGAAGATGCACGGCGGTGACAGAAACACAATGTACATTTGTTTGTGCAAACAGTCTATTTGGACTTCTTATTCACTAAATTAAGAACAGTGGTGTACTTCCATCTATTGACATGAACTGTTTGTGTTCCAGGATGTGACCGACCCGGAGAGGGGCTTCGTCGACGATGACAAGGTCACATTTGAGGTCTATGTCCAGGCGGACGCCCCGCACGGAGTGGCGTACGTACCTTCTAGTTCTCTCTGGGTTGGGTTTTCCACAATGGTCCCAGATTTCACTTTCTTGTCTAGGAGTCATAACGATAACATCTTCTCCCTGTAACCAGATGGGATTCAAAGAAACACACCGGCTATGTTGGACTAAAGAACCAGGGAGCTACCTGCTATATGAACAGCCTGCTACAGACGCTGTTCTTCACCAACCAGCTACGACGGGTACGCTTTCATCTGTGTGGTACCATGTGCATCTTGCGTGCTGGTCGAGTGGGAATTTTGATGTTTATTGAATGTTCTCTGAAGCATTAGTTCAGTGTGTGTGTTTAGATCTTTTTTTTGCCTTTTTAATATTTGTGGCCAGGCTACATGTTTGGAATTTCCCTCCAGGACTCCCTACTGAAATGTACAGGAGCACTAGTTCAAAATAATTCAAATATTCACATCTTCCCTTATTGTTATTCCCTAATTGCTCTGATAATTAGCAGTGTATAGAAATAACAATATGCGGTTTTATTTAAGTCGAGACATAAACGTCACCTTACTGAAATGGGATTTTTTTTTTAAAAGTGTAAACAAATAATAAAGTGGTTTAGTTAAGAGTCTACTGGGCTTCTCAAAGGACGGTCCCACAATACACGCTCATCCTACTGTGATTCCTTTTTTAATTCAAACTGACATTGGCTGGGCTCACCTGTGAAGGCCGATCTGCCCCCATTCTGCCAGCTGAGCGGACCGAGACCAGACTGATCAAATCAGCAGCCACCAATAAGACGACGTCTCGCCTCATAAATCGTGGTGTTCTTGCTCCACAAATCAGTATTCCATCGACTGTATAAATGCGTGCTCTCACTCGCTTTGTCTGTCTGGAGGCGAAACGCAACAAGTATTCAAACCCACAACAATGGTTGTTTTGTGATACGCTTGTGTCGGCCATTGTGTCAACTTTAATGTGCACACACACAAACACAAATGAATAAAATGCAGTTGCTTTTTGAGTTTGCGCTGAGATTACTGCCACAGCAAGTTGTGCCCCGGTGTTGTTTGGACGGTACACACACACACACACACACTCCTGGTGTTTCACATGATGTATAATATACATCATTAGGAGCGCTTTGTAACAAATGGTTGCATTCTGCAGTTCTGCCCTTTAATAGACCACCTGCCTCTGCTGTTGCTTCGGGGGGGGGGTTCAGTAGGAGCTCTAAAAGTGAATTTAAACTTGTCATGAAAATAACATTTCATCAATGCAAAATGTCTACTTCCACATGGGCTTGTTGTCTAAAACCAATCGAGGTGTGAATCTCTGCTTCCCAGGCGGTGTACATGATGCCCACCGAGGGAGATGACTCGTCCAAGAGCGTTCCTCTGGCCCTGCAGAGGGTTTTCTACGAGCTGCAGCACAGCGACAAGCCCGTCGGCACCAAGAAGCTCACCAAGTCCTTCGGGTAGTTCAGACTTTCTAATGTAGAAAACTCACCTGTTGTATCTTAACGTTTCACACGTTGATGCTGTAATGTAGCCGTATATTCTTGTTGACATAGAAATACTTCAAACATCCAGGTGATTAGATGTTTTTGTAAACTTTTAAATGATTACCAGCTTTACCATTTCCTGATCTGTGAGTATTTTATCTAACTACTTTATTGTGTTCTCTATTTCCTCTGAAGATGGGAGACACTAGATAGCTTCATGCAACATGATGTACAGGAGCTATGCAGAGTGGTGAGTTGTCTCATACTCGCTCAAACAATGCGGGTGTGTATGCAGGCGGAATATTAAATATGTCTGTGTTTTCAGCTCCTGGACAATGTGGAGAACAAAATGAAAGGCACTTGTGTTGAAGGAACTATCCCTAAACTCTTCAGAGGAAAGATGGTGGTAGGTTTACTTTATCCAGCTCTTCTTGTCCCACTGCTGGTCGTCATGGTTTCAGCCACATTCTATGTAGTTGTTAAATGAACCGTAAATTAGATTTAATAAAGTGCGAGTGCTGCTGCTTATTTGTCTGAGTACACAGTAAAGACCGAAGTGTGCATTGTGTAAACATTGGTGTAAGTTTAGTTGATTTGAAGTAGTCTGGCGATGGGCTGGGACTGGATCGGTTTACAAATAGGCAAAACGTGTTCCCTTTTTAGAAATGCATAATTTTACTTTCCATTTGTATCGTATTCTGACCTGTGCGTTTCTCTCTAGTCATATATACAGTGTAAGCACGTGGACTACCGGTCCGAGCGGATAGAGGACTACTACGACATCCAGCTTAGCATCAAAGGAAAGAAGAACAGTGAGTTACAACATTAGCACCACTTCGTTTTCTCATTCTTTTTCACTGAAATGTAATAAATTAGTTGAAACTGGCTTTTCACCCTGACATTTCCTCATTTGTTGAATAGATGTTTTATTTCCTTTGCTAACAGTCTGTCTGTTCAAGACCTGTTTAGTGACAGTTATGGAATCTCTTTTCTGCTTATTCGCAGTCTTCGAGTCATTCAAAGATTATGTTGCAACTGAACAGTTGGATGGCGACAACAAATACGACGCAGGAGAGCACGGCCTGCAGGTAAGGCTCAACAGTGACGGGGTCAAATACATTTAGTTCAATGTATCATTGGTATTTAAGCCAATTTTTTTTAAAAAGGAGAATGAATGAAAACTGACAAGTTGCCTGACACATTTGTTGTATTACAGGAAGCTGAGAAGGGAGTGAAGTTCCTCACCTTCCCGCCAATCCTCCACCTGCAGCTGATGAGGTTCATGTACGACCCACAGACCGACCAAAACATCAAGATCAATGACCGGTAACTCAAAAACACCATTATGTTTATTCCTAAATATCTATTGACAAACACGCTTCTCTTGACTCGGATCCTTGTCACACAATGCGTCGGTGGTTGGACAGACTGCGGATGGTCCAGTCTTAATAGGTCAAGTATGTTAAAGGAGAAGTCTATTTCCTGAAGAGACACTCGAGCCGGTGCTCTCTGAACAGCCTGTCCTGACCTCCCGCGCTAAAACAAGTGAGGAAGTGAGTCACGGAGAGTGTTTCCTTCAGGCCGTCTCATTCTGTGTGAAGCTTTACTGGAGCTAATGGTGTTTTAATAATCCACAGGGAGAATGTGACACTTTCAGAACACTAACGCAGGTGTCCAATATGGCTCATTTTCTCCCTGAAGCTCTGAGTCATCCTCTGAGGGCTCTGTATCCGTACACACACACACACACGCGCGTTCACAAGCTGTCGATGTGCAGTCGAACTCTTGCTTTGTTGCATAAATGTATTGTTCGGAATGTTAATGGCTCAATCGCTGGTCTCTGCTTCTCCGCTGTGCAGGTTTGAGTTCCCGGATCAGTTGCCCCTAGATGAGTTCCTACAGAAGACGGACTCCAAGGACCCGGCCAACTACATCCTGCACGCCGTGCTCGTGCACAGCGGGGACAACCACGGTGGTCACTACGTCGTCTATCTCAACCCGAAAGGAGACGGCAAAGTGAGCGTCAAGGAACCAATAGTGAGGACAATTCATTTTATTCACCGTACACCAAAAGATTCAGTGGGGTTTCTGCACTAATAATTCAAAGTGTGGTGTCATCAGGTGTTGGTATTGGGCTTGATTGAAAGCTCAACACAAAGCGTTTTCTCTTTCCTCCCGCCCGTGGCTGCTCCTTCCAGTGGTGCAAGTTCGACGATGACGTGGTGTCGCGGTGCACCAAGGAGGAGGCCATAGAGCACAACTACGGTGGACACGACGACGACCTCTCTGTGCGCCACTGCACCAACGCGTACATGTTGGTCTACATCCGCGAGTCCAAGCTCAGTGAGTGACCTCCTGCTCTCCTTTGGCCGGTCTGGCTGATGTTAAACCGATCTTTCCATTATCTCAAAATACTGTCCTCATTTGCCGCCGCTGATCTGTCCTTAAGTGCAGCGCTAAGAACTAAGCCGTGCCGATTTAATGAGGAGCGTTCAACACGATACCGGTTTTTGGATGAGAATGTAGGATAATGTTACCGAAAGCGTTAATACAAGCGTATCCGGTGAAATATTATTTTCTTTTATTATACTTTCTTAATTTAAAGAAATACCTGTCTATAGCCTTTGCTCCCTGCCTAATGCCTTAAATAGCACAAATATTACTGCTCTCAATGATACACACTCATGTGTCCTCGTGTCCCAGGCGAGGTGCTCCTGCCAATGACTGACGTGGACATCCCCCAGCAGCTGGTGGAGCGTCTGCAGGAGGAGAAAAGGGTGGAGGCACAGAAGAGGAAGGAGCGTCAAGAGGCTCACCTCTACATGCAAGTCCAGGTAGGAAACTAGGACGTCCGATTTAAGCGTTCTGAGGTGCTGTGAAGTTTTGCACACTTTGCTATCTAAGTGTTGAGAGCAGACATCTGCCATGTGGGCTTTGTTTAAGCTTCACAGTTGGATGCACATCTGAATACGTTCCTCCCGTTGTTGCAGGGCAGTTAAACAGGCCGTGATCTGCTGCTCATTACGAGGGGTCGGCAAGAGTGCAGAGTTAGAATTAAGACGCAACTATGTGCATCATGCGTCGTCATAGATATGACTGTGCTGACATATGCAGTGTTTATCCAACCAGATGTGGTTTTCTGAAAAGATAACGCTGCAGTTGAAACCACTTTAAACAAGAAAATACATGGTGGATGGATCTGCATTAGCACAACATTGATAGTCTTACCATTAAATTAAATGCTGAAGTGAAATTTTTCAGAATCTGGTCTAAATACTGTGATATGGATTTTTGGCCACACCGCACAGCCCCAATTGCAACATACCTGTAAGGTCCAACTGCACCTTTCTGTGAAGCAGAGTCCACCCAGAGCAGCAGGTGAGAATGAGGGCACTGCTTGTTAAAAGATTAGCGAAGTTGATCCCGTTCAAAGATGTCAGCCGCTCTGCCTTTTATATAACTTAGCCAAGTATGAGGTCAGGACAAAAGGCAACTTACATCATTATTACTTTTCTCTGCAGAAGCAATACGAGAAGTCACTAACTGACTTCTACCGTCTCGTTTGAGTAATACATGGTGACCGAGAAACGGACATTCCACTGAAAAAGTAACAAATGCCGTCAGAGGGATTCAGAGAGATCCGTTTTGGAGCCCAGATGTACTCTGTCACTAAGGTATTTCTCCTCCTGTCTTCTTCCCCGTGTGCACAGATCGTAACAGAGGACCAGTTCTGTGGTCATCAGGGCAACGACATGTATGACGAGGAGAAGGTGAAGTACACAGTCTTCAAGGTCCTGAAGAGCTCCACGCTGCAGGAGTTTGTCCAGACGCTCTCTCAGACCATGGTGGGTCCCGGAGCAACCGATGTCGTTTTTAACCGTATTCATCTCACGTGCACCGTTTGTCCGGTCAATGTTTGTAGGATCCAAATCGTTCACGTGACTTCTTTTCACCCTGGTCTCTCGTCATATGCTTAAAGGGAAATTAACCTCTGCTGTTCATTGGCTGCAGGGTTTCCCACAGGACCAGATGAGGCTGTGGCCCATGCAGGCCCGGAGCAACGGAACCAAGCGGCCTGCCATGCTGGACTACGAGGCTGACTGCAGCAAGTCGGTGAGCGTTTGTGAGCTGGACCCGTCCTGGTATTTTGATCGGTGGACATTTTGGGTGTTTTTGTCTGCGGTTTCACCGGCGAGACGCTCTCACCGCATCGTACGCGCCGATCCACCACGGGTTTAGTTATCATTTCATTTAAGTTGCAGAAGGAACCCGAAGGCCTCTGCACTGATTCAGTGTGTTTGGTGTACTCTCCTATTTGTTTTTGATTATTGTTGCGTTTGCGTTTCAGATGATCGACTTGAGCGACAATGAGAACCCCTGGACAATATTCCTGGAGACGGTGGATCCAGAGATGGCGGCCAGTGGGGCCACATTACCCAAGTTCGACAAAGACCGTGAGTCCCACACGTCGATCCTCCTCGCCTTCACATTGGAACAGACATTCTCCCCCTTGAAATAGAAGTTATGATCCCGGGTTGTTGCTCTTAACGATGGGCTCAATGCGGAGTAGCTTTTTGTAACTGTTTGTCGTCATTAAAGCGAGGTCTTGTACACTTATCTAGCATCAATGGTTTTGTCCCTTTCTTTTTAGATGATGTCATGTTGTTCTTGAAGATGTATGACCCCAAAACCAGAAGCTTAAATTATTGTGGACATATCTACACACCTATATCCTGCAAAATAAGTAAGTGGCGGCAACTGCCAAGTCTGTTTTAATCTTAACTCATTCAGAACGTTAGACATTAAATGGTGTTTCTGCTGCTCCTTTCTCCCTGTAACCAGGAGACCTTCTACCAGTCATGTGTGAGAGAGCAGGGTTTCAGCAGGAAACTAGCCTTATCCTCTATGAGGTGAGCATACGCTGCAGGTCCCCCGAGCACCTGCTCTCCTGTCGTTACCTGCACACCCTCAATGAAATACTCGTACCACAATTCCCACAATGCCTTGTGTGTTACAGGAAGTGAAGCCCAATCTAACGGAGCGGATACAGGACTACGACGTCTCCCTGGACAAGGCCCTGGACGAGCTCATGGACGGTGACATCATTGTGTTCCAGAAGTACGGCCGATAAGTTTCTCTGTGTTGCATTTAGGCTGCGCGGTGAGGGCTCGTTTACATCCGCGTATTAGGATTTGAACACGTCTGTCGGCTCGTTGGTTCTTCTGATGGAACAGAGCGGGCAGCGAGGTGGGAGAGACGTTACCACAAGAGACTCTGCTTTCTCAGAAATGTTGTTGGAGTAATCTGTTTGTCTGGATCCGCCTCTGGTTTCCTGCCGTTTTCTTAACTTCTCTCTTCCAACCCGTCGCATCTGTGTGGAGCTGCTCTTCCCTCCCATCATGTACTCTGCCGTCTCACCGCACATTCTGTACCTTAATGGACCCGTTTTCCCAAAGGGACGACCCAGAGAACGACAGCAGCGAGCTGCCTACAGCCAAGGAGTATTTCCGGGATCTCTACCACCGAGTGGACGTCATCTTCTGTGACAAGACCATCCACAACGACCCGGGCTTCGTGGTCACTCTGTCCAACCGCATGAACTACTTTCAGGTACCTTCTATTTCATACGCAACATCAGCCATGTTTGGGGAGGAGATGCTCTCGTGCCCTGAAACGCAATGAGGCAGTGGCTTCTCGGAGGGCTTTAGAAGCTTAATGCGTCACGTCTGGTATCTAACGGCAACAGCTTTTTGTAGCTGCTCCTTTTGGTATTTTAGGTGCACTCGGTCGGCCCTCCAGGATCGACTCTTAATGTTTGTGCCGCTCGTTTGCTCGTCAGGTGGCCAAGACCGTAGCGCAGAGGTTGAACACGGATCCGATGCTGCTGCAGTTCTTCAAGTCACAGGGGTAGGAGGCTTGTCTCATCCACACTTTTACATTGGAATATAAAACTTGCTAATCGTGCAGTACATTAAAAACGATGAGGCATGAGGAGCCTGTGCTGTTTTTAGGGTCATGGAACATCACATATTTAATAACGGGAAAGTAAGGAGTGGTTTCAGTGTGCTAATCATCAACTCGATACACATTTACGCGCATATCCCAAATTCTGCTCGACTACAAACAGGAAGCTGTGCGTTTATTTCCCGTGTTGTCGCTTGTGTCATGTTTGCCTCTTTGATTTGATGACTTGCAGTTGTCAGTAGAAATATTGCGTAACCTGTCCCCCCCCCACCTTTCTTTGTTGTTTTCCTCTAACTCCTCCCACTCTGCCTCTCTCCCCCTCCATCCTTCCTCTATTCTGCATCTCGCTGAATTTTTTTCGTCTTCCCCTTCTGTTTCTGTCTTCTCCCCCTTTTTTCTCCTCCCCCCTCATCTTCTTCTTTCTTCCACCCTCGGTTTCTCTTCTCCTGTCATTCTTCTTCACTCCCCTTGGTCGTCCTCCCCCCCTGCCTGGTGGTGTGGTGGCCAGGTACAGGGACGGTCCAGGGAATCCTCTCAGACACAACTACGAGGGCACGCTGCGAGACCTGCTGCAGTTCTTCAAACCTCGGCAGCCCAAGAAACTCTACTATCAGCAGGTAGGGGCGGGGCTGCAGGGGCCTCTGGTCGCTGGGCGGGTTGTTCCGCTTCTCTGGTTTCTCATTCCTGAAAACGCGACGCTTTCTGACCGTTTCTCTCCCTCCTTGATGTGTCCACAGTTAAAGATGAAGATAACTGACTTTGAGAACAGGAGGAGCTTTAAGTCCATATGGCTCAACAGCCAGTTCAGAGAGGAGGTAACACAACGCGCACACGCGCACACACACACACACGCACCGTCTCCCCCTGACCAGCACGTCCCCTCACATATCCAATCTTTGGCTGCAGGAGATCACCCTCTACCCTGACAAGCACGGCTGTGTGCGGGACCTTTTGGAAGAATGTAAAAAGGCAGTCGAGCTCTCTGAAAAAGGCTCCGACAAGCTCAGGTATGTGTGTGGTGTGTGTGTGTGTGTGTCATGTCGAGGCTGTTATTGTGAAGCAGCTATTGTGTCTCCCACCCTGAGGACATTTGCCTAATGAGCAGGAACGTTATAAAAGGGAACATTAAACAAACTAAAGCTGGTAATTCACCCACAGAGGAAACGGCTCTGCTGCTCCGTAACGCTCACAAATCGTCTTCAGGTGGAGAAAACTACGCAGCCTCAGTATTAGGGGCAGATATTTAGATCTTTTTAAAAATAGTGTAATTCCTGTTGGCCTCCACGGCCCGGCAGGAGCCGCCTTTGAGCTCCTTCACACCCAGCAGGAGCACACAGGAGCCGTGAGGTCGCTGTTGCAAAGACTCTGTGCTTTTTGTATCTTCTGTTCAATGTGACGTTTGTGCTTTGAGAAATCTTTCTCTCTGTGTTAATCCTTTTGATGCCCCCCCCTCTCTCCCCCTGCAGGCTGTTAGAGATAGTAAGCTATAAAATCATCGGGGTTCACCAGGAGGAGGAGCTGCTAGAATGTTTATCTCCGGCTGCCAGCCGCACCTTCAGAATAGAGGTATGTGAGGCGTCGCTGTGTGTCTGCTTCCTCCTCCGGTCTCTCCTCCACTTAGCGTGACACTTTGACACATTTTCTTTTGCTGCGCTTCCTTACGTTTGTCTCCAAGAGTGTGGAGAATGTGCGAAGGATGCATTTAGAGAACCAAACTCTTCTGGCTGGAAGTCTGATGCACAACTATGGTTGTACTGAATGTCGTCTGTTTACATTCACGGCATTCGGGTTTTGAACACTTGCCTGCAATTTTCTTTTGCAGAATCTAATTCTCTATAAGACTGATAAAGATCGTGACGCTGAACAGAACCGGAATGAATTGGCGTGTGATTGCGTGTTAAACTACTCGGCCCGGTGGCGTCTGTCTGCACTGACAACAGAATCAGTGGCGCTGCTCCTTCAATCAAACGCTGGGAGTCTTTCCTCTCTGCTCTAAAGCTAGTGACTAACCCACACTAACCCCCCCACCACCACAGGAGATTCCTTTGGACCAGGTGGACCTGGACAAGGACAGTGAAATGCTGATCCCCGTTGCTCACTTCCACAAGGAAGTCTTCGGCACCTTCGGGATCCCCTTCTTGCTCAAGATCAGACAGGTGTGTGTTTCTAGTCTTCTCATCACGACGAGTCACTCAGAAACTCCACATCACGCTGATTGTCTCCTTGGTTAACACCCCCGACCCCCCCCCCACAGGGCGAGTCATTTCGGGAGGTGATGAGGAGGATTCAGACCATGCTGGACATTCAGGAGAAAGAATTTGAGAAGGTAAAACGCTGCGTAGCCTCATGTTGCGAAAGTTCCGTTTTTCTGCACAGATTTGTAGGTTTGTTTCATTTGTCACACTGAATATTTGACGTGCGCTTTTTGTTTGTTCTCAGTTCAAGTTTGCGATCGTGATGATGGGGCGGCATCAGTACATCACAGAGGACGAGTACGAGGTCAACCTGAAGGACTTTGAACCACAGCCAGGTATTTACTGCTGCTGCTCACAGGAGGTACCGGGGATGTCTGGGTTATCGTATCCATGGTTACTGGCATCTACGGTGTGCTGATGTAACGTGCGCCGATACCTCCAAAAACACCGGGAGGGATACAGGTTCAACTAGAAAATCAAGCAGTGACAAAAGTTACTGCAGCATATTTTATAATAAACAAACCCTAATTGACTTTGAAGTAGTTTCACTGTAAAGTCGTTTAAATCTTCTCCGTATCGTAGAGATCGAGCCCTTAAATGACCACCTGATGCATCTCTCTCTCCAGGTAACATGTCCCACCCGCGGCCCTGGCTAGGGTTGGATCATTTCAACAAGGCTCCAAAGAGAGGTCGCTACACCTACCTGGAGAAAGCAATCAAGATCCACAACTAAAAGCAGCCCGCCCGCCCTCTACGTCCTCCTCCTGCTCCGCCTTTCTGTTCCCCACCTTCTCTTAACACACCATAACCACAGACTGTAACAAACGGTGTGAGACTGCGTGTGTGCGTATGTGTGTGTGTGTTCATCACTTCTAACACCTACAGCTGTACACCGGCACTCCGTCCTCAGCGACTCGGATCTCGCTGCCGCTGACGGATTATCCTTCAAACACGAAATAAACTGCACCAACCACCTGCTCACTGTTGAGTTAGTCGCGTCTTTTTTTTAATCGTCTCCCTCCGTGTTTGAGGCTGTACGGTTATTGGGGGTTTTCGGGGGGTTTTCAGGCTTTTTTGTTTTTGTTTTTTTGGCCGACTGAAAGTGAAATTGGATTTTAATATAAAATAAGCAGAAGGGAATATGGGTGCAGAATAAATAGAAGTTTATACAAATAAACTTCTAGATTTACTTTTTGTTTCCTACTCCTTCCACACACCAGCTTTTTCTGATTTTTGGGGCTTGTTTTTAAATGGAGTTGTTTGGAGGAGTGTGTGACGTCTGCGAGGACGAACTGACAGAAGGGGGGGGGGCTTTTTTTTTTTTTTTCTTTTGCAGCTGCGAACTTGGTCTGTCCTGAGGCTCACTAGTTTATCCCGATGTGGTTCTTTATATATATTTTTTTGCTCCCATCCTTTTAGTGCAACGAAGCAAGTATTTCCGAGTTAACGCGCAGTTTTGTTCCACTTAGTTTGATTGGAGGAAAAATGAATTCATCTTTTTTTGTCTTTCTGCAGATCTTGTATAATAAAATAACAATCCACAGCATCTGTTTAAAAATAAAAGGGGGAAAAATAAGGATATTTGTCTGTATTTCATCTGCACGTAGGCACTTCATGTCGGAGGTTTCTCAGGACTGACACTGTACATTTTGTTTGGTTTTGAGTTGCTCAGCGATTTTAAAGAACACACAGACACACACACACATTTCCCCCCTTGGCTTTATTGTTTTTTGTTTTTCTTCAGCGGTGTTTAAAGTCTTAGTCATTCCTGCTCTAAACACAGCGCATTTGAGCTTGGTCAACTTGTCTCTGGGGGGGGGCAGGCAGTGTCGCCCCCTGGTGGTCGCAGCGGTCACTGCGCTGTGCTTGCTAGAGAGCTGCAGACACTTTGAGCCCCACCGGTTTGGAGACAAAAGCCAGCATTGTAAGAAACACTTTAATCCCCATGAATCCATTTTTTTTCTTTTTGTTTTGTTCTTTTAAACCACAGACCGAATGCTCCCCTAATAGTGCATAGCTGGCTCTGTAAAGACAACATTTAAGAATTGTATATTTAAAAATATGAACGTGTAAAATTAAAGAGAAACACGCCTTTGTTGTTGGGTACAGAAGGAGCCAGGTGTTCATATTTCTTGTGTGTAGGGTTTTTCTTTTTTTGCGTTCCTGATGTACCATTGACGATTTTTTTCTGTTACATTTGAATTTTCTTTTCAAAACTAACTGCATTGGTTTTGTCTTGTTAAAAAGTGCAGTACAAAGAGAACCTGCAGAATCACACCTTAATTTGATCTTTTCCAGTTTAAAATCCTCAGTGTAGCAGCAGTGTACGACAACTATTCCTGTATATTGCCTTTTTGCTGGAAAATGTATGTTGAATAAAATTTTCTATAAAAACAAAAAAAAAACTACTCCGCTGCTTGTTCACGCTGGCGTTTGATCTCAACACGTTGTAAAGGAGCATTTGACACTTTAGCTTTAGAATCACCTCCCGTCTCAAACCGGCCTTCGACCTAAAAGTGCTCGTGGTTATTGGATTGTCTCCGCTCACTCGTGAACGTAACCTGACGATACCAGTAGAATATAACCTATAAATCTGAATATGTTTATCGGTAGAATTGATGAACATTTGACTAAAGAAACATAAGTAATATCACGTGATGGGCCTTACAAAGACGGTTGGGGGGAAACTTGTGTATTTGATTCTTACATAGCAGCAACCCATGAATTCAAGATGTCTTTCCACTGAGCTATAAATAAAACTACCTTAAATGATAACTGGCCACAAATGAGAATTGGGAGAAAATAAACTCGAGAGTGACGCCACAGGTGGTTAAATCGTCAGCAGGCCGCGAGGCGTCTGATGGGAGGAAGCTTCATGTCGACATGAAACAACCGGCTGAGTAGCTTTCAGTCAGCTGGACCAGTTCCGCCTTTACATTGTTTATGTAAACCAGTTTCTACCAATAATTTAATGACCGGTTCAACCCAAAACACCGCGGTTTCACTCTATCAGCTGATTTGGGGCTGTGAACAATTTAGAGCAGGACATCAATCGATCCATCAACACGTGTCACTTCAGAAGGCCGCTTGGTCTTAATTCAACTCGTTGCGAGCTCAACCATTCAACCAACGTTTGTCTCCGATCTGACCTCGGATCAGCTGAAACACAAGGTTCCACCCACAGTACAGCGTGTTCTGCAGCATTACAACTCATGACGCCATGTCGGATTAAATAGATTATGATCGAGATTGAATTTAATATCTGCGTATCCCCAACTTGATCTTATATTTATGTGTCCTTCAATCGGGTAGTAGTGTAATTTATCTATTTAAACCCTTTTTTACTCCATCTTTTCCACCTCATCCTTTCTTGCTCCTTTTTTTAATGTCTATTTTTACATACGTATAAATATGGGGGTATTTGTGAACGTGTACAACCATGCATATTTATATGCGTGTGTCTAAATATGTGTCTGTATACATATACAAGGTCGCAGCAGCGTTTCAGGTACCAGAGCACAACGCTTTGCTTTTAGATGAATATGTGCTTTATTACTGGGATTATTAGTTGGACTGTACATACAATCGATGACACAAGTAATACAAGTTTAGGTCTAGGTTATATATACAATACTCTGTAAAAGTGTACACACACACACACACACACTCACACACACAATCATTTGGCCACTTTTGTATTTTGCAGCATTCATGTTTAATTTCACTGAACGTGTTTGTGTGCAAGAAGTGCACGTTTGTTGTGCTAAAACAGAAGGAAATGGAAGCGCGATCAGCCTGCTGATTGGATGGTTCACGTCTCCTGGACGAGAGCTTTGGATCGACTTTGGACTCGGATGGGACCCCGACATGTGGCCCCGCTGTTCCCCCGAGGAGGCCTCTTCAGCGGGACCACGAGGCGCTGGTTGTGGGTTGTTTCAATTCTAAATGCACGATCCCGGGAAATGGATTTCATTAAGTTTATGTACAAGACCTTCATTTCAGCGACGCGACGTTTGCAGAGGTTTCTGATGAACGGAGAAAGATGAAAAACTCCCAAAAAGTGCGTCGAGTGTGCTTCACCCACGTGTTTTCGGGGTTTCCTTTCAGCACAAAATCTTACAAAAACGGTTTTGCTAAAATGTGTTTTTGCCTAAATCTAGTCTTTGGACACACGTGACAACTGTTTTTTTTATTTTTTATATATTGCTTTGGATTTTAGGAGAAAGCATTTGTCCCACGTGCCCAAAGTCCGTACCTCAGACACGACAAGGACCACAGTCGAGTGTTTGTATCTATCAACTGATAACAAGTCCATAGATGTGCACAAATATGCATTATATTAAAAAGAAATCACATAGAAGACATTTAACAAACACGATGTCAATGTGTTCTCGTTCTTCCAAAATAATCCTCACTATTGATTCGTCATCTCACCAAAAAAAGTTTTAAAGCTTTCTGTTGCAACTTGCCCAAAGTATTTCCGTACCATATTATAAGACTTTAAACTAAAAACTAACAAAGTTGTCCTCATCATGCTGAATATGACCCAATGTTTTGGCACAAATAGCTTAATCTAATGTGAAAAGAACTAAAACAATAAAAACTGAGCCCACGATATCTGATCTCAGACAACACGACGACTCCCAGTCTGCTGACACGACGCGTGACATCGCTTCCACAGAAACAAGGCGCATTACAAAAGTAACGGGGTGTTAATTCTCATCTCCACGGGTCCGTGTCCTCCATCAGCGTCGTTATTTACAGCATTTCCTCTTTTCAACGTGCAGCACTCGGTTGCAGCGAGGGCACGTGTGGTACGCGTTCTTGAATCTGTTCATGAAGAAGGGGATCAGGCAGCAGCACAGGACTAATCTGCAACACACACACACACACACACACACACACACACACACAGTTAGTGTCATGCAGCTTTATGCAACATTATGTGCTTGAACTGCTTTTAAGATCTTCGCTCTATAATAAAACTATATTTATGAAGAAATTAACTGAATTTTTAGTTGGGTTTTCGTAATCTGCTACGGAGGAAACGAGGCCACATTTTCCTTTTGGACATGTGTCCAGAATCTTTTGCAAAATAATGAAAATGAATACGACATAATGTATGACATTTGTTGACGCTTTATTTCCCAAAGCGCACCGAGCCCGTGACGTCGAAGACACCTCCCGATGGCGTGCACTCACCCCAGGCAGATGAAGAGCAAGCACATGAGCCAGGCGTATCTCCCCGCCTTGTAGGTGACCTCCGTCATGACCTGCTGCTGGCAGCTGGTGCAGGTCGTCATGCCGGGGGTCGTGCCCAGCGCCCCGTCGTAGCTCACATACTTATTTTTGGTCGAATTGTCACCCTGTCCTCCTCCTCCTCCTCCTCCTCCTCCTCCTCCTCCTCCTCCTCCGCTGGAATTCACTGAGGGGGGGGAAGAGGAGAGGGGAGTCAACGTTAATGATCCGCCACACGCCGCTGCGGAGGGTCTCCGGGAAGCGTCTTGTGGGGTTACCTGGCGTGACGTTAGTGGCGGTGTCGGTGGACATGGGGTTGAAGGGCATGTGGGTGTGGTAAACGACCACATCTCCCTTAGCCGGACCTTGAACTGGACAAGAACACAGGGGTCAATGGGTCAGCCTGATGATGATGAGTGTGTGTTTGTGTGTGCGTGTGTGTGTGTGTGTGTGTGTGTGTGCACTCGGGTTTACTTGGTATCATGTAGGGAGGAGGCTCTTTTTTTCCTTCTCCACTCATTGTGCTGCAGAGAGAGAGAGAGAGAGAGAATTTGGGATGAAGATGTCGTTACAAACACCACACTGACGCTGTAACGACGTCTCATCGGGAGGCGGGTGCGACGTTTTTACCACCAGGTGGATGGGGGGGAAGGGGGGGGGGGTCTGAGCGATGGAGCTAAAAACATGTGACAGAGCTCTGATTATATTGATGTGGGGTCAGAGTTCACGTCCCTAAACGTCATGTGACAAAGACTTTCCATCACAATACAGATCATTTCTTATCCCGGTGATGATATAATGGCACAACATGGCCTGATTTCTGGTAACTCAATAAATAAAACGTCTTCATGAAATCAACACGTGGTGAAGCCTTTAGTCGTTTAACTGAAGTATTTTGTAGTCTTGTCAAGAAATGGATTTCAAATTGAACATCACATATTCAAGTGAGGAAACAACATAAAAAAATCCCATCTCTATAACCTCTGAATCCTCAGATTAGACCGTTCTGTCTACATTGATCCCCTCTGCTCAGTTTCTCTCCCTGTAACACTTTAACGGACCGTTGTCTCACACCAACATCTGTCTGAGAAGTGGACCTGTCAATCAAAAGATAGCCCCGCCCTAAAGCAAAATGAACACCAGACGTGTTGCCACTGTTTCCTGAAGGAATAAATCAAGAGGGAAGTGGAGTCATTGTCTCATAGACGTCTACACAAACAGGCTTCTTTTTGCAGCTGGATTGATCCCCTGCTGGTCAGTCCCCGAGCTTCACCTCACACACACACACACACTCACACACACGTCAGTGCAGGAATGTGACCGAGCGGCATGCTTCTCGCTGCGTGTCACTGAGGGTGTGTCCCTCTTGCGCAAATCTACCTGCAATCTGATGATTTAGCTCATCTGGGGGAAAAAAAAACAGCCCAACATTGTGTTGACAGCTGTTTTTTGTGATGGCTAAATACACACAAAAAGAAATGAAGGCACGTCCCTGAAAGAAGCGTCTCCACAGCCCATTTTACCACTTCTTCCGTCTGTCCAAATCCAAGCAGGCGGGATGAGCCTCCCAGAGAGCCAATCGGTGAGGTGGGACAGGTGCGGCCGGACTGCGAGTACATCCGTGCTGGTCGAACCGGACTGTCTTGCTCTCTCCTTGTGAGTTTTGATGATCCGCTGACAGAGGCGTGCAAATGACCCCTCAAAGACCTCGATCTGACCGCTGTGGAGATTTAAGTTTGAGCTCCGGAGCTCAATCAAAGTCAAGTTTCGGAATTCTTCGCCCGCCACTTGTTTCTCCCAAATCGCCCAAAAACAACAAATCCATTGCTGTAACACCGAAAAACTGACTCCCTGTGTCCTGCAGGCTGAGTTGAGCAGCCGATTTAGGACTCAGCAGATTAATTAACCGTGAGATTTAAGGTTCCAGGTGAACTTTCTGTTAGGTTTCTCGTTTAACGCATTTTATATAAACTCAAGTAACACAAATGGGAACATGTGCAATGGAATCCACGAATCCTGTTATCTTGTCTTACCTGTGTGGGATTTTGCCGTCTTTATGGAGAGATGTGTGTGTGCTGCCGCCGATGAGCCCAGACTGATTGAAGAGGTCCACCTGTTTCACCTGTACCTCTGCAAGCCCCTCCTCCGACGCGCCCAGAGCCCCGCCCTCACCGACAAAGCCCAAAAAACCTGCATCAATGAGTCACTCTGTGGTTTAGGTGTAGCTGTGAAATACCGAACTTGTCGTCTTTTTATGCCGCTTTGTTTCTGGGAGGTTGCTGAGGGTGTGTGTGTGTGTGTTTATGTACAGGTGTGTGTGTGTGTGACACTCTAATGAGAACAACCGGTTTCCCTCCCGCTGCTTTGTCTGTGTCAGGACATTTTCATCCCGTCACAGAGTCCAAGCATCAGAGTTTTAAACCGCAACGTCAACAAAAGAAATGAAGAAAAAATTGCCGAAATAAAAGAAAATGCAGTTGTCGTACTGTGAGGAATCGTTACCGCACACACCTGCGTGCACGTAAGATAAGATGAGCCTGAGGCCTGAGTCTTCGCTTCAGGGTTGTTTAGGGCAAAACTTCCTCCCTTTAACTCCCATAGAAGGCCCACAGCGGACCAAACACACATTTTAAATCACATCTTGTCCCAGAGCTTCCGGCTTCAAAGACTATAAGACGTTATTGTGATGTTCTGAAGAATTCCTGGAATACCTGTGCTCTATATGGTAAAGGGATGTGATGCATGTTTTTTACTCTGATCACTCAACTTAATTTCCCCTTTTTGTTTAAAAGTAAATGTGCATGCTAATGCTAACGTTTGCGAATCCCTCCGCTGCTTCAGCACCGCGGAGAGCGGCGGATGGATCTACATGGACATCCACCCCTCTCATCTACAGTCGGTCTACGTTGATATCAGACACTTCGTGAGAGGCCGGCTTGGTGGAGGATGCTCTTTTTCCAAACTTTTCTCTATTGGGGTGCTGCAAACAAACAGTGTGGAAGTCTATCACCAACACAGCCACGCAAAAGATGTCCAGAATGTACAAAATCCGTCGCCATTTGTTGACGGTAGACGGCAGACCGCCGGAGGCGAGCGACTCGGTGCCGAGAGGTGCGGCTTCGTAAGCTGCACACAAGGCAGCGATTGTGCCAAAAATAAGGCGATTGGTTCCTCGTTAGCCTGCCAGCACGTTCAGCTTCATTTGTAACGATCAAACCTGCCTCAGTTTATTTTTCTTTTTGTTTACATCATTACATTACAGCTAAAAAGATGCCGGTCCAGGTTTGCGTATTCTCTCAATCAGCCGTGAGCAGGCCGGTCGAACCACGTCGATCTGCTGCTGGTCACCTGACCACAGGGTTCTGCTACGGGTTCGGGGCCTGAGTTCTGCTACGGGTTCGGGGCCTCGACTGCGACTCCAGCCCAGAACCTGTTTTCTGAAGGCGAACCGCATCGACCCGAGTGACCTGTCGTCAGTGCAGAATGCTGCAGGGAGCCCATTAAAAAACATGAGGGGGGGTTTGCCTTCTCTCCTGAATATTAAGGATCCTTGTTTTACTTAAAACACCTCAATCGGGGAATGAGTTGTGTGTCAAGGTGTGTGTGTGTGTGTGTGTGTGTGTGGGAGAGAGAGAGAGCTTGGGGTGTTGCCGCCGCATATGATGTCAACTGGGTGAGGTCGGAGTGTGTGTCCGATTGTGTGTGTTTTGAGTGTTTCGATCGACCCGATGAGCGGCATTCCAGAGATCAGACCAATCCCTACCGAGTTTAGCATTCCGTTAAAAGCCTCGAGGTGTGCGTGGTGTTGCGCTTTTTTCAAACATGATACAAGTATCATTATATTATTTATTATTACAACGTGATTCACAACTGATTCAAAATCATACAAAAAGTTTAAGTGTAGTCCGCTCGTGTTCGGATGTGCTAAATTAGAACTGCCTGTGATTGGCTCTACATGGCTCTCAACATGGCAGCGGCTTGCAGCTAACAGTGCTAGCCGCGCTAACAGCGCAAAGAAGCACACAAACCGATGTGCAAAGACGCTTCTTTATCAACTAGGTGCTGCAGCAGGCAGGCGGAGGAGGGAGTGATGGAGGTGGGGAGGAGGGAAGGAAGGAAGGACGGACAACGTGGTTTTAAGAGGAAGATAAAAATAGCCTCTGACTCAGCAGCAATGAGGTGTGACTTTCGGATCTTCCTGCTCTTCTTTCCACCTCGTCGCTCACCTGTCTTTCGTCTTCTCATCCGATCCGCACCCGGGGCTGTCTGACTCTTTGATGTGGTTTATTTTGAGGTGAGGTTGTGTATGACGATGACGTCGTCGTTTAGCGCTCCAGTTAACGTGAATCAGATCAGGGTCTTTTCTCGTCTTCCTCTGACTTTGTGTGCAGTTTCTCCAAAGAAAATATGTAATTTCCAAGAACTGTAAGAAGTAGAAAGTATGACTCATCTTTGATGTCAGTGGGAAAGACACACACACACACACAGACAGACACACAAACACCTACAGGTTAAACCCTTTAAGCGCTGCATACCTTCCCATGTTACATACAATGAGAAGCAGGTTATGTGTTTTATGATTGTAGTCATTCCATGATGGATTCCTAAGGAGCTCGTGTATGTTACCATGACAATAAGTCACGCCGGGAAAAGAGTGAATTACGCAACATTGAATGTGTTAGTTTTGCTTGGAAAATTGAATAAATACCGATGTATGAAGCTATCAAGTAACTAACAATGGTTTAAAATGTAAACCTACAGTAGCCCCTAGCAAATAAATAAATATAAAATAATTAATTTCATCAGTTTTTATAGATACCATCACACTATAAATGACAAAACATCTGGACGGCTGATGACTGATCCTTGCTTCTTACTATAGTTAACTATAAACTATATATTTCCATAGTTATTGTATAGTTTTTGATTTGGGAGTAAAAATGGGATTTGGAAGGTGTGACTTTTTATTCTATTTTTAAAAAGTTGCATAAACTGACTTCATGTCAAAAACGATGAAAAACCTAACTTTAACAGGACAATCGTAATAAAATACTACCCGCGAGTAAAAGCTCCAACAAGGATATTAAAGCAACAAGGTACGAGAGGCTGTACTTTATCGTCCTGTAACAGTTCGTTGGTGACGTTGGGCCCGACGCAGAGCGGACGTCCACCTTAATTGTCCGATTGCGAAAGCTCACATTGCTTGTAAACGATAATTTGTGGGATTTCCAGGTTTTTTTCGGCGACCTAAAAGCTAAGATGTCAACAAACGCAAACACGTTAGCCAAAAGCTGACGTGTTACTTCGAGTGAGCAGTGACGCTCAATTTCAATGTGAACACCAACTGTACATTATCGCCCCTGGCCCCCGAACGCCGGATTTCATCTCCCCGTATTATACTAATAAATGATCAACACTTAATATTTCTCCAGACACAGTTGTGGCGGTTGCTACTAGCAACAGAACACCCATCAAAGCTCCCAAATAAAATGTCTTTTGTTGCCCAGCTTTGTGCGGGAAAGTAAATATTCCTTCGCTTCTAAATCTTTTCTTCTGCCTCTTAACAATGAACGCTGCCTCAGTAAGGCCCTGCTGAAGAGATCAAAGCACAAACACACACGGAAACCGCTGGGTTGCGTCCCCCTTCTTCCTTTGGTAGAATTAAACCAAACAGTGTAGACGCATAGAAATGGTGTAAAGAGAACTCTGACTCTGTCAGGTGTTGTTTTGTCCTCCTCCCTGTGGCATGTCCCCTGACCTGCTCGGCCACATCATTTCCCCCTTTTTTTTTTTTTTCAGGCACAGCGAAGATGATGAACCAGTTTCTCACTCACACAGCTGACAACCCGTTTGCTCGTAGGATTATGAGCAAACGGGTTGAGTATGATGTACGTGCGCGTACAGTGGATGTTTCGTAGTACATACAAAATAACTTTTTTACATTTTTTATTAAAACAATATACACCAGCGATTCCCAAAGTGTGGGCCGCAGCCCACTGGTGGTACTGCAGGTGGGCCGCGAGAGGTCATTTACAATAAATAAATGTTTTTAATTTTAAATTTTGAAAAGATTAATATAAAAATAATAATAAACGATTGATAATTGATAAGATACCAAACCCACAATTTTTGAAGAAAAGTATTATTTGAAGAATTCTAGCGGCACATTAGTTATGTGTGACATTAATTGATGAAGCACAAACAATTTAAACGAACAGATTAATAAAACAATAAGGCTCTCGCTCGAAACGGCCGCTCTTGTCCGCCTGTCGTTATTCAACAAAAGGCGCCACCAAACAAAACAATGGGGCGCCTTTTGTTGTATTAAAGTAAATATATATGAGCTCCAGAGAAAATGGTATACAAAACATACATTGTCAGTTAATACATTTTCATTCAGTTGAATTCTTAAGGTCATTTAATCATCCCTAGTTTACGTTTGGATCAGAGTTGTGATTAAAGGTTTGGGTGGGCCGCAAAAGATTTTCAGATTTCAAATGATCTACACTATTCATTTCGTAAATATAAAATATTTACAACATGTGTCCCGTTTATTTAGCAACAGGATGATGTCCTCCTGTTGGTACATTATGTGTCAGTATCTAACCGTGACCCAAAGTGAATCGCTCTTCAGACCCCGAGGTCTTATTCTTGAAGTCCTCTCCTCAGAGTGCCGTACGCCGTCGCCTCCCTCCACCTCTAACGGCCGCGATCCGACTCTACCACGGACGCGCTCCTGCTGATGGTGAACGTCCGCCCCGTCCTGAAATAGTTCTCGATCTCTTCCAGCGAGCGGCCGCGGGTCTCCGGGATGCACACGGCGGTGAACAGCAGACAGAGGACGCACACCACCGTGAAGCCCAGGTAGGGCACGTACAGGCCGTACCTGTCCACCAGGTGCGAGAAGGCGTGCGTGAGGACGAAGGCCGTCAGCCAGCTGACGGTCACGCACAGGCCCGAGGCCACGCCCCTGGTAACCAGCGGCAGCACCTCTGACATCAGCAGCCACGTGATGGGGCCCCATCCCATGGCGTATCCTAGGAGACGAGCGGCAGAGGGGAGACAAACCCATCGGGTCAAATTAAAGGATCTCAGCAATCCCAGCAGCGCCACACGACTGTGACCGTTTAAAACGTTTTCCCAATTGACGGGGCGTGAGAACATAATGGAACTGATTCACCCAAGTAACGAGTTTTCATTGTTATGAGCCGATGGGTGTTGCTCCGAGAACACAGTATAACAAAAAGACTCGAGGACGTGACAGTTCTTAACTTGTTGGATCAAGACAAAGGGAAATTTTCTAGCAAACAGCGTGTGCATTGTTGACTAAATACATGACTGACAGGTTATCACATCTGTATCTATTGCATGAAGTTTGTTAGTGACAGTCTGCATGCTAAATGCTAGCATGCTAACACGCTGCGCTTGTTATAAAGGAATCAGGAATCAGGAAACATTTATTCCCATAATATGTCGGACATACAATGAATTTGACTTGGCGGTTGGTGCGTAAGAGCAGACAGTACGACAATGGACGAGACAATAAAATAAAATATAATGCTATGGGTTAGTTTAAAAATAAAGGAATAAAAGTTAAAAATGTTTAAAAATTAAAAATAAAGTGAACCAGCGAACAGAAAGTGATAAATGAAAGTGACAAGTTCCAAGTGACAAGTGTAAGTGACGTGTGCAGTGTGAAAGAAAGTGACCGATGGTCAGAGTCTAGATTGGCTGGGACGGTTCTAAACGTCATTGGCTTTTGCTTGAACCAGAGAAACTTTGATTGCAAGAGATGAAAAGGAACGCGATAACCAAAAGTTATGAGATTCAATCCTCTTGGATTTCACCCCACCCAATGGTTTTTGGTTTATTTCCATCCAAGCGGCGTGCGAGAAGACTCACCAAATATGAACATCATGGTGCTGATGAGAGGGATGAGGCCTGCTGCAGTTTGGGGGCCGGCATCCAAAGGGTTTCCAAAGGCATTATGGGGGCTGAGGTCTGAACTCATGGTGAGGTTAGGAGGGCCGGGGCCCGGAGGGCGAGCTGCGGTGTGGGAGTTCATGGTCAGAGTCAGAGCGGACAGGAACATCAGCAGGCTCGACGTGTACAGCAGAGCTTTGCGTCCCGCCCTGTCCATCAAACTGGCTGCCACGACGACGGAGAGGAGGCGGACCGCGCCTACGATGATGGCGTCATACCTGAGGGAGAAAACAGCAGGCAGAGGGAAGTCAGGTGCATCCTGGGATTGAATTCGAAACCCAATCATTGCAAACAACAACATCGGCAGGAGAAATGAAAATAAAATCAGGAGAGAACATCAACGGAAGATGAGTGGAAGTAGATAAATAGAACGTCCTACCCGGGCGGCAGAGACATGTTGCTTTTGGAGAAGATGGTCTCCAGGTAGACCAGCATGGGCGTGATGCCCGTCATCTGCTGCAGGAAACGCATCACCACTGAGATCAGGATTGGTTTGTAGTAGATGGGTGTGGCCAGTCGCGACCATGTGACTTTTTCCTGTTTGTCGATGCTCTCCTGTGTTGTCCAGAAAAACAGATGTCCTCAAATGGAATAAGAATAGTAACCTCAACGTGCAGACAAAATAATCCAACGTGTGATCGTCCTTTACGGCCGCGCCTCTCCCACCTGTATTGCGCTGAGCTCAGTGCGTGTGTCGTAGTGGTCCCCCCTCAGCCAGCGCAGGGCCCCCTCGGCCTGCTGCTCTCTGCCCAGAGCCAGCAGCCTCCTGGGCGAGCTGGGCATGAAGACCAGCAGCGCGACCATCAACAGGGCCGGGACCTCCCCCGCCACCGCCAGCCACCGCCACGGCACCACCGGACCTGTTCCCATGAAGTGCACTTAAGAATACCGCAACGTGGCCTAGTGTTATCCAAGGGAAGCAGCCAGAAAAACAATTCTGCACCAGCCTACCCATGGCGTAGAGCACCAGGGCCCCGAACACAGCGGTGATCTGAGGGCAGGAGCCCAAAGCTCCTCTCACCGCTTTGTGGGAGATCTCCGAGATGTAAACCTGAGACATGAACACGCAAACATGCAGTCACGTGACCAAACAGCTCCGAGTGAAAAAAAAAGTTTGCATTAATAGTTTTTTTTTTGTCTGTAACCACGGCAACCCACAGGAATAGATGCCGCGGTCATCCCCCCGGCCACGCCTGTGAGGAACCGGCCCAGAAGGAGCATCCATATGTCGACAGCCCCTCCCATCAGCATGTACCTGTGACACACATGGGTACAGGCGGAGGTTTACCAGGATGGACCGTAAAGTTACGCCGTTAAGACGTTTAATCATCGCGGTGCGCCCGCTCGTCGCGACTGACCCAATAGCCGACGGCACCGCTGACGTCATGATGCTCAGCTTGCGTCCGATCATGTCGTTGAGCAGCATGGCGCCGAGGCCGCCGGCCGCTGCGCCCAGCATGTAGATGGAGCCGAACCAAGCGGCCTGCTCCGGGCCCATCCTGAGCCTGGGGTCGGCGTCGGGGGCCGTGAGCCTCGGCAGGACCGGGGACGAGTAGACCAGGGAGTAACCGAAGCTGAAGTTCCCCAGGACGGCGGTGAAGACCGCCAGGAACAGTTTGGAGTTTTGGATCTGGGGTGGAAGTGAGAGAAGGCCGACACGTTCCGAAGAGTAAATCCACCCAGAAGTGATCACAAACATGTGAAAACATCAGTTTGAGTGTTCAATCCTAAAGTCTCTTAGTAAATTATGGTCTCTTCAGAAATAGACCATAATTTACCATATTCTTTCAAGTAAGACTTTGATAGGGAAAATGTACGTTAATTGCAAACTGTTACCTTGATAATTAATGTTTTACCAACAAAGAAAGCTATCTTACGCTATCTTGTGCTTGTAATAAAACCTTCTGTCGAACTTTTTCTCTCTTTTTTTGCCTCACTGCACAACTTTAGAGGGAGCAGCGGCCTCGGATGTATGAGAAAAATCAGTCAGCGGTTATTTAAGAAAGTAGACGGCGTGCATCAGGCTTCATTTATCGAACGATCCAAGAGTTAAATGAACGCTGATTTACAGACTGTGATCCCCGGCAGTCTGTTTTGTTCATGTTAAACAGCATAAAGTAAATGTATAGACTGCTGATCAGACTCTAAACAAGTGAAAGGGTTCCCACCTTGGATTCAGTCGATGTGGGTCTTTTGTTCAGCAGCGGAGTCTTTTCTTCCATGTCTGCAGCGGGAGACCGACGTCACAATCTGCTTCAGGATCCGTTTGTTCTCCTCACGCGGGATGCAAATGTCTCGATTGGAAGAAAAAAAAATGCTGTCCTCCAAAAACACCGCCAGACAAAAACATGTCACAGTTCCATCAAAGGGGATCAAAAGGATAAAAGCAAACCAAGTAAATAAAAATACTAGTTGGTTTTAAACTGTGATATGTTTCTGTATCTCCCCCTTACAAGTAAGAAACCTGCGTGTGCTGCAGGATCTCCAGGCTGACTGAAAGAGGAGTTGACCAACACACGTCCAGTAGTCATAGTGAAACTGTCTCAACACTGGACTTTCACAAGTGAAATGGAACTGGAATTTTTGGTCAGAGAATTATTTGACATTTTGACCCAGCCGCCCTCTGTTGTGTTTATTGTTTTAATAATTTATTGAAAATGTTGTTTTTACTCTTTGTCTTTTTCATTTTCAAATAATTTTGGCTTTCTTAAAGCATTGGACTTTGTCGTAAGGGCGGAACCCTTTAAGGCAAAAGATGCCCCCATTGAAACCCATTTAACCACATTCATTGCCATGAATGCACAAATACATCCATTTGATCATATCACAATACAATCTGCTTCAAAATACAATGTTTAAAGAACTATTTTCCTGGTTTCCATTACGGGTATACTATGGATTAATGTTAATGTAAACCCCTTGTTTTATTTATTATTTATTTATAATTATTTGTATTCATGATCGGAACGACAATTGATGAAGATATTTAACTCAAAGTGAAAAAGACTGAAATATTGAACATTTATTGAATAAAAAACCCACAGAACACCGAGTCAGAAGATTCAAGTGCATTGACCTCGTCGTTTTTTTAAGTCCAAAGTTTTGCAAACCGGGACAAAATCGCAAAGGAAAGGAATAAACATAATTGTATTGGGAAAGTCAGAGAAAAAGAAGAAGTAGGAGCCAGGCCCCTCCACACACACACGCACACCCAGACTACACATCAGTTGAGTCTGGGGCAAAAGAAAAGGTTCCTTGAACAACATTAACAAAAAAAACATTTACATTTTTTTTTGTTTTAATGTTTTATTTTTATTTTCACTTACGTGTCAACAAAACTACAACTCCCAGCATCCCACGCGGCTCCTTTTTTTTGGTCACTGCTCGCGATCCTTACACGGCGTCACGAGACCCTCGAGCTGTCATGGGGGAGAATAACAGTTAAAAGTTAGCTTAGCAACAACCGGCACCGATGAAATAGATCAGCCACCCTCACGGCGGAGAGCTTACCGGAAGTCACCATGGCCAACATCACGAAGAAAGTGTCGTGGTCCAGCCGGGCCGACGAGTCCGGCGGCACCGGGGAGGGGACGCCGCTGCTCAACGGCTCCGGGCAGCCCAGACTCTCCAGACAGGTAGCCGCCGCTAGCATGTTTGGCTAAGGTAGCCTGCGCTGCTGGTGGGAAGGCGCTGTGTCATGTTGTTATTATTACTTTTAGCTGCACGGGTTACGGTGTTTTTTTTAGTTAGTTTTATGCTACGCGGCGTCCCTTCGGGGTGGTGTCATGTGTGATGGTGTGTTTGCAGCTGCTGAGCAGCAGATGCGGAAACAAGCTTTGACTGTAGTGGAATGTAATTAACTGCATGGAAGTAATTTACGTTGATTCATGTTTGTTAAATTACTTGCACGATGCACTCAATTAGATTCAGTTTCTGAATGAACTGACTAACGATTTCTAGCTAGCTCGTTACTTTGCTCATGCACTGCTATGAACATCCCTGACATCCATCGTTATGATGCATTTAACAGTCCTAACTTTAGAAAAGAGGGTGGTGGTGATCCGTCAACATAAGAGTCAGTCTATAAAGACTAGAATTCCCACTCTACTTTTAAAGTAATACAATCATCTAACATTTCGGGTAATATGTGCCTATTGAATACCGTTAAGTTTGCTTTTAGTTCATCGCCGAAACGAATACTACTAAACAAGGAGATAAAACTCTGAGACTGTCTCACTGTAGGAGACATTTAGACTGAATGAAGTCGTCTGTCCCTCTAAGAATGAAAAACAAAGGAAGCTTCCTATTTCCCTAAAAGGCCACCAGTTTCACCACCACGACAAAAGGGGGAATCGCTCCGATAACGTTCTTTTATACATCGAGTCAATCATCCGTTGTGCGTTACCTGCAGTCTCTTGATATCAGCAACTGTGTGATGTTAACATATGAGCTCAGTATTTGCCACACAAAGCCAAACATACGTATATTTGTGTTGATGTCTGTGCTGTCCGTAGCTGTCTGGGGGAGGCAGTGTATTTCAGATAGGCAGACTCAGCACGGTGGATTTGGAGGAGGAGATGTCGTCGGAGGAGGTAAAGTCTGAGCCTCAAGCGTCACCGCTCTGTTTCTCTCTCTGTGTCTGTCGCCAGCACTTTTCCACTACAGGGACTTAAAAGTGATCAGCTCTTGTCTGTAAATCAAATAAAATGATCAAGCCGTGTGTAAGGGGGCATTTACAGTAGATTTAATGTGATACTCGGGCTGAGTTTGTGTACACGCCGAGCCGCTTCAAGCGTTATTGTGAGTATTTTGTCTCACCTGATGCGGGAGATCTGACACAAAAATGAACTTGCTTCTTTACCAGGGTTGACTCAGTTGACTCGTGAAAGACACATGTTTGGAAACTGTCTGAAGGTTTCCACTGTGATGCATCACACATGATGGGGGGGATGGAGGCCGCGAGCAGCTCCACCCGGAAAGCTCAACTGTTCTGGATTTTTGAAAACAATCAAGACTTTATTGGAACCCTCCTGCTGTAAATGTGAAGCCCAAACCGTTTATAAATGGGTTTAAACCCTTTGTGCGGTTTAAGGAAGCTTATTAGCTCAATGCAACGTTTTAGGTAATCGGGTAATAAAACAAATACCCCCCAAAAATCCCAATAAGAACAGAACGTAAAGCTTGAGGCCACAGTCGGAGATGAAGAACAGAAAAAGAACATGTGACTGATGCTCAAATAATTTATCGTCACTTAGCTTTATTGGACCTCACATCCACCTCCGTCCGTGACAGAAACCATCAGGTTCTGCTGCGTTTTGCAATGCCTGATGGAAATGTGATGCCATGCATGGCATCTGCATGCTTCTTAAATGCTTAAATGTTTCTTTACCGTATTTTGGTCTTATTCTTTGGCCTCAGCTTTGCACAGTTGGCCCACAGAGGTGTGACGGAGGCCCTCTTCATGTTGCATGTTAAAAGGGGGGCACTTGTTTTGAATTGCCATTAGCTGGTGTCCTCTCTTAATAAATGTTGATTTTCTCTTCTTTAAATGTTTGTGGATTGTAGCCGTTGTATTCCAAATGATTTCTCTGAAGTTAGTCACTTAGTTCCCAGCTCCTTGCAGCCGCCCACATGATCGTTTAGGTCAGAGGTTGAAGGTCAGTGTTGGTTCGGTGACCTCTGTTTTTCCTGTGATTTTTCCCTGCAGGACTCTCTAAGGGGGCGGCTGAAAGAGATCCCTCACAACGAGAAGCTGCTGTCGCTTAAATTTGAGGTATTGCCGAATAAAGGACGCAATGAAAAGCGTAAAAGGAGTCAGTGTCACATGTTTGTGGAGACTGGGGTCACTGGATCAAACCAGCTTTGCGTTAACGTGTTTTGGTTTGACATGAACATGCTTTCATTGATCCAAATGCAGAGTCGGTTTTGCTACCAGATTTGTCTTCATCGTGAAGCATCGCAGAAGCAAACACAATCACCCTTTTTTTTACTGATTAATTGTATTTATTTCATTGTGTTATTGCAGAGTCTGGACTATGATAACATTGAGAATCAGCTGTTCCTGGAGGAGGAGAGGAGGATGAGTTACATGGTAAATAGAGTGGGAATGACCTGAGTATATGTTTTACCATCAGAATGTGTCGCTGTGCTTGAATTTGTGTGTTTTCTTCATGTCATCTTGTACCTTTTAGGGTTTCCGCTGTCTGGAGATCAGTCGCTGGGTCGTCTGCGGTCTAATCGGCTTCCTGACCGGCCTCATCGCCTGTTTTATAGACATCGCTGTGGAAGAAATTGCTGGGATCAAATACCGAGTGGTCAAAGAGAGTATCCTGAAGATTTGTGCATTGTACACATAGACATTGACATAGAAATATACATTGTACACATTTGTATTTTGTATTTGTATTTTACCATTTTCTGCTACTTTATATATCTACAACATTATATCTCTTGCAGCTTATTAAAAAATATCAACATCTAATAAATGATGGTGTAGCATCATGAATTGCGATACTTATTGATCCCACTGGAAAATACTTCTCACCCGTAAACCTATCGATCAAACTTCTCTCAAGTCTATTCTAGTTGCACGATTCAGCTCTTTAAACCTCACAAATATGTGTTGTAAATGAATCAGCCACGTGCCGTAAAGACTTTCGAGTTTCTCCTTGACCTCTGACCCCCTCACAGACATAGAGAAGTTCACCGAGGTGGGCGGCCTGTCGATCTCCCTCATCCTCTGGGTTGTCCTCAACTCCGTCTTTGTAATGGTGGGGGCCATCATCGTCGCATGTATCGAGGTGAGACTTTTTAAGAAACTGCCATAAATCTAAACCTGTGTGTCAGTTTTCTTCGAGTGAGTGGATTTTGAAGAAGTCCGTCGGTTCCTTGTTTTATAATACTTTTCCATTGAGTCGGAGGGGGAAGTGGAAACCGATTAGCCAAAGGCTGGTCTTTACCAGCTGGATTCCAGCAGTGCGTAATACTGAAATTTCTAAAGATGAATGTGCTTCTCTATTTTGACCTTTGTGGTGAACCTCCGGCAACCACGCGGATCCCAAAAGTGCTTCCATCATCATCTATTAAGGGGATATTTCAATAATGAATATACCACACAAATGCCACCCGTGAGCACCGTCATCCTCACGTATTACCGCTGTGATCATGAAGATCTCTGTATTCCATCTCCTCTGTTCCTCCTTTGTCTCTACCAGCCCATCGCAGCAGGAAGTGGTATTCCTCAGATAAAATGTTACCTGAACGGAGTAAAGATTCCCAGGGTGGTACGGCTCAAGGTAGGGACACACACACACGCGCGCACACACACACACACGCCCTCCAGCCAATGTTGCTGAGCATGTCGTGTGTCCCACAGACTCTGGTGGTGAAGGTGTTCGGTGTCATCTGTTCAGTCGTTGGCGGTCTGGCTGTTGGAAAGGTAAACGTTGACCCTCCTCTGCTTCTCCCTCGTGCACATATTCAATGTACCATTGATGTTGTTTTTACGGTTTGAACTATGTTGTTTGGGAACATTTAGATCATCTTCATTTTAAGTGAACGATTGCTTCTTGTTTACCCACAATCCCTCAGGAAGGGCCCATGATTCACTCTGGGGCCGTGGTAGCTGCCGGGGTCTCGCAGGGCCGCAGCACCTCTCTGAAGAAAGACCTGAAGGTCAGCGTGTAGTGAGCTTCTTTCTGTATGTGTCGGGTTACAGTATACTCATATATTTCTATATATTCATGTATAAGTTGGAGTTACTTTGTTAGAAACACTGTGTTCTTGTTGTTGTTTACGTTGCTTTTACGAGCACGTTCTTAAACATCTCTGGTAAAATCCTGTCACGAGTAATGTGTTTGTGTTCGTAGATGTTTGAATACTTCCGGAGAGACACGGAAAAACGTGACTTTGTGTCGGCCGGAGCCGCGGCCGGAGTTTCAGCGGCTTTTGGAGCCCCAGTCGGTAAGTAAAGTCAAACAATGATGAAAACCGAGTCACCGCCGGATCTGACGCACAAAAGAAGGGCACCAAACATTCAACCCCACAAACACCGAACATTTATAGAGACAAACATGTAGTTGTGTGTATATTTGTGTGTATATGTTAGCCGATCAGATGCAGCTGCGGTGGCTGACCGTTTGCTTTTGGTCGACAGGCGGCGTTCTGTTCTCTCTGGAGGAGGGAGCTTCTTTCTGGAACCAGATGCTGACGTGGAGGATAGTGAGTCCCTTTGTCTCTCACCTGTCCCCCCTCCCACCCCTCCCCCACCCTCCTCCTCAAGGACCATGATGTTGATGATGTTAGATATTGTTCCCCTTGTTTATTTCTCATCATTTGTTCTCTGTCTCACTTACAGTTCTTTGCCTCTATGATCTCCACCTTCACCCTCAACTTCTTCCTCAGCATCTACCACAA